GTTCATGACTTTGCGTAATGTAGAGGATGTTTGCTGTAGTCGTAATTTCGTTTTATAAAATACATATGTATTTGTAAACTAGAGAAAAACAAAAACAAATCTAACCCACGGGAACCATACATTTTCCCGGGATAAAAAGTAACCTCTGTGCTATTCCAGACTATAATCTATTTCTGTGCCTTTCCATACAGATCCGTTGTTCCGTTCTGGCGTGATTGAGTAACAAACATCCATCCATCCAAACTTTCGCATTTATAATATTAATAGGATAACAAATATAATTTTTGATTTCTCAAAACTCATTAGAATACGGACAACGGATTTTCCACTGAACAAACATAATAGCTATATAATAGATCGTTAGCTAATGTACGATTAAACATTTTTATTTCGAAACACATCGAGTCCATAAGTGTGCCGTTACATAATCTATTTATACTATAAGCGACATCACAATGGGTGTAATGAATCTCAGAGATTTATTCTATTGTACTTGCGCGTGCGCCACTGGATGAACGCCAATTGATTTCCAAACGTCAAACAGATTAAAAAAAATCTTTAAATATAAGTTTTTTTTGTATTAAGCATTTTGTTTTACGCTTATTAGATAAAGCGACGATACTGCTATTGCCCACTGCTTTAGCTTATCTTTAAGAAATACCATCTACGATACATATTTGATAAAATTTATGTAATATTACGTATAATACACAGATATATAATATAAATAGTTCTTGGAAAAATAAAACAAATTATTAATGATTTAACAAATTCGCTTCAAGAATTATCTTGAGTTTTAGTGTTGTTGCTATCAAATACCTACGAGTACCAACGATACGTATACTAGGTAAAGATCAGCAGCGCTGTTCCAAAGGGGTGTTTCCAAGAAATAACGATCAAAAATAATAAAATTTCTTTCAACGACGTCCTCTAAGACCAAGTCCATTAGTTTCTGTTCACACATTGTCACGGTATTTTTTTTTCACCGCATGAGTCAGACTAACACTAAGGCCGACCGCACACGATGTTACTCGGTGCTTGGACCTTTTCCAATTCTTTAAACAATAGCAAAAAAATAAAATAAAAAATAAAACTTTTATTTTAAATGCCTAATTTACTTTTATCAAATAACGCTTCCATATCTTTGTTTTTTTGTTTTAGCACTTTAACATACGTAAGCAAAGAATAACTGTTCGTATTGTAATATTAGACGGGTGCTTTGTTGTATTGTAAAAAAGAACAAGTTGAGTTATCATTGACAGAGATAGTAATTTTGTTTTAACAATAATAAAATGTTTCTCACTAACTATGGCTCAGTACTCGAGCCTACCTAAAATAAAATAAACTTTTGAGAAAATTCTGTCTCCACGCAAGAATTCTTTCTTATACACTTTTTTTTGCCCATCTGTTACTTATTGTACTCAGCCCTTTTTAACGTCCCACTGCTGGGCACGGGCCTCCCTTCAATACGAGGGGGATCAGGCCATAGTCCACCACGCTGGCCAAGTGCGGGTTGGCGGACTTCACATGTCTTTCGAAAACTCGCTAGCTTCTCTCAGGCATGCAGGTTTCCTCACGATGTTTTCCTTCACCGTAAGGCAAGTGGTAGTCATGTTAAAAATGATTCGCACATTAAAATATTAGAGGTGCGAGACCCGGGATTTGAACCCGCTTCACTCGGTTTCCCAAGCAAGCGCGTTACCACTGGGCTACCACTGACTCTTACTGTTACTTAATACAATTTTTATATTTTTACTAGTGTTAACTATTATAGTGTCACCTTATTTAATTGTAAGCCCGCATACCCAAAATATTAGATATGCAAAACGGCACGAAAACAAATTCAAGTTTCTATCACTTTTGTCCTTTAAATATTTGTTATTGTATAAGATTGTTTTTGACAAAACCATCTGAAATTTTCCACGCATTAAACGAATACACAAACGAGCTAAGCTGTCGTCAAATACTTGTTTTTTGAAGTCAATAAACAAAACCACAGTCGACAAACACAATGGGATATTATAATGGTTTTACAAGGTTTATAAGCTATACTATTACTTTAAAGTTATTGCAGTGTTATCAAATAGGTCACTAGATATCGACTACATTACCTACTGAAATAAAATAATGTATATTTTATATTTGGATAAATACGTTCGATTCGTTACAGTTCTAGATTAAATTACATTCCATTGCTTGTTTTAAAATATTATAAATATATATGTTTTAATAACACCGAGCAAAGTTTACGTTTAAAAGTATTTGTATATTTTATATTTTGTTTGTAAATTTATGGTGTTGTATTATAAAGAGCGTAGGTCCGTGTTGACATTCGCTATTGTGATTTGCTTGCTACCTTTTTTCTGACCTATGCATATTATGTATCATTATTGCCTTATCCCTCCACGACCGCGGACACGCCGGCGTTACAGTTAACAATAGATTTCTTAGAAAATTTAATTAATTTCTTAGAAATTTACCTGGAGGTGTTAAGTTAGGAAGTAAAGACAGCATGTTATTGTAAGAAATTTGATCTCATAAACGTCATAATTTAATTCGGATTTCCGCTTAATGTCAGGCAATAGCGTCTTGACCTTCATCGCCTTTGTTTTCATGATACATTCATATTCTAATAACCAGTCGAGATTATATTAAAAAGCGTAATAATTCTTAATATTCACGCATAAATTATTGAACGTGTTTTTCTTAATATTTTCTCATTGATAGATTCATATATACATAGTATGTATATGAATACCTACTTTTGTAGGTACTTGTTGAAGATTGTTCTTCGTTTGTATTTTTGAAGTGAAAACTTCTTTAAGCAGGTTTAGAATGGAGAGTAAATTCATGTAAGTCACGTGACGTGTTAACTATCTAACACTCACGATAGAACTGTTTGTTAGTTGTCATTTCTGTCGGCAGTCCTCATGACTGCTTTTTTTACTTTTAAAGTTATTCTTTGTCAAAAAAAAAAAGTTTTAAATTGATCAATTAATTATCTGTGCCAAGTTTACATTTATTTCTAGTGATATGAGTCAGATGTGACAGGTTTTCATTCATTGTGTATTTATGTAATAGTTATGTCGGTAATGTTACGCTTGTTATCACATGAACATTGTTATCATTGTACTCCAATGATTCTTATGCTTTAATCTTACATAATTAGAAATAAGATAGAATAAGTATTAATATGTTACATTTGATGTGTTGAATTTCAAAATTTTTAGGGTCATTTGCATAAAAATATTAACACCTCCAGGTAAATTTTTAACAAATTTATTAAATTTTTAAGAAATCTGTTTTAACTGTATCGTGGAGAGATTAATTTGGTTTAATGTCTTCAATGTTACATTTAATGCAAACAACGAATTTAGGTGCAAGTAGTCTAGGGTTAATATTCGGCAGTTGGTTTTTGTTTTGAAGAACAAAATAAAAGAAAATATATAATGGTATAATAATCTTCATAATTTATTTTCTCTCCATTCAGTTTTATCATACAATAAGTATTCAGTATAAAACAATATTCTTTGTTAAATTCATAAAAATATATTATTTTAGTATAACTGTTTTTATCTTTATAAACTTACAAATTATTGTTAACATTTTGAAGAATCATTTTGTATAAAAATAATACAAAAAAAAGGTAAACTCGCCGTTGCACGCCCTTTTAGGTAGTACATAGCACATTATACTCATATTTTATATTATCATACAAACCGACGGCGAGTACCTCATAGTCTATAACAATTCAACTTGTTAATTGGTATAATATTACTTACAATAACCTATAAGAATACAATGGTACAGTACTATCTCACTGTAGCTCATTAAATGGTAACAAAAACAATAAATACATAGGTATAGGCTTCAGTTTACAAAGCGTAGGCACTCGAGATTGCTACTTGATCCTAGTAATTAAACATTCTCACTAATAAATACATCGCACATACGATATCCTTACAAATACTCTCTTGCTTACGAAATTTTCATGCATTCGTTCATCACAATTTTTAATCGGACGGCCTCACGTTACAAGACCTTTAAAGAGCACCGGGTCAGTACTGAGACATTTACAAAACTGAGAAACATACATCTCGCAACATTCGGGACGCACTCGGTCTCACACTCTGGCAGTCGTTCACACAAGCATTTAGCCGTCGAGCATAACGTAAACGAATCCGTCAGGCATCGAGGCGCCATTATAGTAATGAAAAAAAGTTAACCTTGTGCAACAAAACGTGATTCGGAACGTCCGACTGCCGAACACATGGCCGCCATTCCGCGAGGGCGGCGCAGGCGGAATTTTAATTAACAGAACATCCGCTCGTGACTTGTGCGATGCGTCGTTGCCAGCTTCACTTATAATATTATCCCTTTCGCACCAATCATGTTTCGGTCCCGTCGGAGGACCCTTTTCCACAATATAAAATTTTGCATATTTAAATTGCAATAAAAGTACAAAAAATATACATTTTATAATAAACCTTTCGACCGCCTCGGGTCACAGTATAAACGAACGAGCGTTGCAAATCCGTATACTGCGAGCCGAAACGGCAACATCGCTGGAACGGGAAATTCGCCGGAGAGCTGGCAACGTCGCGTCAACCTCGGCCAGTCTGATGACGTTGCACGATTATCCTTTCTAGTTTCTATATACACTATTCTAAATGAGACAACGCAATACTGATACGAGGAAAATCATAACTGCGACTTACAATGGTAGCTAATCTTGCGACTCGCTCTAAGTACATCCTTGGCTTAGGAGTTAGGCCTTAGCGCACGCAGACTACCGAGCGGGCCGGCCCGGTTGGCGGGTCGCGGCCGCTGTCACTCGCGACCTCTCAAACAACACAACATCCATCGTAGCTTCACCTTACACACTAGAGTTAACTATATATTACACGGTAAAATTAAGATCACAAATCGCTTTGTATGCTGCGTCCGAGCGGGCGCGACTAGCATGGAATGTGGGGAGCGGCGCGGCGGCAGCGCGATCAGAAGTGCGTGTCAATGTGGCAGCCGCCGTTGGCGTGCTCCAGCACCTGCTGCTTGAGCCGCGAGACGTGGTCCTTCAGCTTGACCACCATCTGCGCGAGTTCCGCGTTCTCGCCCTTCAGCAGCTTCACCTTCTCCTCCAGCTTGGAGATGCGCTCGAGCTTGCGCCGCCGGCATTTGGACGCCGCCACTCGGTTCCTTTGCCTTTTGCGCTCTAACTTTATCCTCTCCTGCGAGTCCATGTCGATGGGCGAGAGTGGAGGCGAGCTGGACGCGCTGGGGACAGTTTGCGGCTCGTCCTTGACGACCGGGGTAGGGTATCGGTCTAACGGCCGGTCCAGATCGGCGTACACTCGCCGCCCGTGTGGCTCGGGCGCGTTGTGGTGGTGCAACTTGTCTAGCGCCTCAACGAACGGACGCGCATACATTTCCTGCTCCTCCGTCGGGGCCACCGCTGGGAACAGCACCGCTCCGCCAGGTGTAGGGGTCGCTGTTGTGATCATGCCGTTCTGCATAATAAGTTTCTCCAGCTCCGGCGAGCCCAGCTTCAGCAGCTGGAGGTCGGGCGAGGAGAGCACGGGCGCGCCGTTGCGAGCCCTCTTCCCGCCTCGTCCAAAATCCAAATCCAAGGTTAGGGACCTCTTCAGATTCTCCACGGGGCCACTCATGGGATAGGTATGTTCGTCATAAAATGTGGTCTCCATCCCGTGGCCTGTTTGCCGAACCATGTGTTAGCACCAAACTCCTCGATAACACTATAAAGTCACTTCACGAAGAAAACTTTCTCATGCGGCAACGTACATCCACCACCGTCGACGTTCCACTTGTTTCTAAACATTGTTAAGAAACAACCATTGCTTTTATTCCATGACTCAGATAAGCTATTTTTAACTATCGCGTGATAAAGGCGCGCTCTGATTGGTCGCAAATGACGTGATATCGCGCGCCGCTCGTCCGCCATTGGTCGGCTTGGGTATAGCGAGGCGCGAGGCCACAGCGGGCTGTTTACGACTTCGTGCGATTACCGAGAATCGGCGGATTTATGTCCATTGTACTGGCGATAACGTAAATAAGACTTATTTTTTTTAAATATATAATTAGAATATTATGATCCTGCACTCATAAGCGGTGGGAACGTTAAGGCTAATATTTAAGTATTTTTTATTTTGCTTTATTTAAGTATATGCTAGATTTAGATATTTTTAATTTCAATTCTATATTTATTCTATATTTTATGATTATCTTAGTAATAATAAAAATATTTATTAATAATTTAAAATCGGGTCATAAAAGTATAATCTAGGATATTTTCGTAAAATAAAACAATATGTACAAAATCCTGATTCAGTTGACTTTTTAAAAAATATCATTGTCTAATAGATCTTATAAAAATATATAATAATTTTAGTCACTTGTTATGTTTTTAAAATAAATTATATTAATCTCATTATTAATATTATAAATGCGAAAGTTTGTTACTCAATCACGCCAGAACGGCTGAACGGATCTCAATGAAAATTGGCACAGAAATAGATTATAGTCTGGAATAGCACAAACGTCACCTTTTATCCCGAAAAAAATGTACGATTCCCGTGGAATTGATTTGTTTTTGTTTTTTTTATTAGGGACGAACCCAAACGAAGCCAGGACGAGTTGCTAGTAATAAGTTATGTACATTGTCTGCTCATTCATTACATATTTAATTTTTACTCATTAATCAAACTAACAAAAACTTTTATAAATTCGGAAAATACAGTGGAAACAGTACAACAAAGGGGCGAGGTGAAGGCGGGGTAACCGCGCCTCAGCGCTACAAGAAAATATATGCGAGAGGCGCGCGGGAAGGGGGCTATGGCGGCCCCGTAAGAGCAAGTGAGACCGACATGTACACCACACTCGCTCTCAACAGATAAAGTTCACCAATTTCAAGTAGGAAAATTATCCCTAAAATCCCTTCTATTTCTTTATTATTGTATTCAAAATGCAAGTCTACCTATTTTAACACTATGATTTGATTATGTACTTCAGATTATTTAATAATAATATGCTGCACATTTATTTATCATCCATTAAATATATTTATATCATTAAAATTAAACTCTTAAATTGCACTCTTGAACGCAAATATGCAACTTTGATAATACTTCTGATAGTGAAAGATATTCATAAATTTATCTTTAGTCCTGATGTTTTTAATAGATATTTATGTATTATGTATCAAATGCCTTATCAACAAAGTCACTATTGTTGTAGTTGTAATAATCTACACCGGACATGAAGCAGCGATACTCCTGCCATCTATTATGACATTCGTGCATCAGTTTTCTCTACTCCTTACTAGATGGCGCTTTATAATTAGTAGATACAATTATAAAAATATAATTTGATACATTAATATAACACTAGCATAGTATTATATGATCTACGATAAAACAAAAAAAAAAACGAACTGATTGTTAAATTTTTTCTTTATAATAGAAATAAATTAAAAATGCAGTTCTACTTCATTTTAATATCATCAATTTGATTCAACTGATTCAAATAGAAGGGACGCTACTCTATCATAGATGGCGCTAAATATTTTTCTTTGACATTTTTATCGAAATTTCCTACGGCTACTGGTATATAACGGTATACTGGTTGACCGTTCATTTTAATATTACATATTTATAACTATCGGACAAATGAATATAGTTCTTGAGATTAAATCTTTTAATAAAAAAAATTCGAAATAGCTTTCGTTAACAAATCTTTTTTGGTATGTTTTTGGGCCCATTTGTTCAATATTAATCAAATCTTAGTTATTCTTAACTTTTGTGTAAAGTTTTCGCCATTTAAACTAGATCATAATTCTAAGCTACTTTCCGAGATATCAAACTTTTAGGGGTCTATATAAAGTTGTATATTGTATTATGTTCTTTTCTTTATAATCCCGTAGATAGATAGATTACACATAAGCCGCTTTGACACGATCAAAGTCTACTTTGGCAAGATTGTTTTGACGACTACTTTGACACAACTTAGATCATGTAAACAAGCAATCAAAGCGAACTCTGATGTGGACTTTAACAAAGTGTACTTGGACCGTGTTCTACTTTTCTTAAATTCTGCTTTGACAAAGTAGTTGCGACGACTGTCGACTACTTTGATCGTGTAAACGAACAATCAAAGCGCATTTTCACGACGGCGTTCAATCAAAGTGGACTTTATCAAAGAGAACTTCGTTTCAAAGCTTTTTGTCAAAGCAGACTCAGGGTTTCAACGCGTCTTTAAGAGTATAACATTATGCGAAGACCGGGATGGTTGGCGCTCTTTGGGGGAGGCCTTTGTTCAGCAGTGGACGGCGATAGGCTGATTGATTGAAGGTTTGAGTGAACTTTTCGTGTATTTTTAAGAATATTTATTGGTTTAATAAATTAAAAAGAAAAGGAATACTATAAAAATATTTATTAACCTTATTTATTTTTAATTCTTATATTTATTTAACGGTAACAGATATGACGCGTATATCGTCATATGGCTTATCTGTCTTGGGGTTGGTCTTTGCGTTGCCGATGTTCTGCACCACTTCCATGCCGCGGACGACGCGTCCGAACACTGTGTGCTTGTTATCTAGCCATGGCTGTGAAAATAAAACATTATTTAATAATAAAATAATAATAAGTAAGTATTTATTATACACAAGTTTGTTGCTAGAATGTATTTATTTAATTTATGTATATATATATATATATATATATATATATGTGTGTAAATGTAATTTATGAATGCCCAATCAAAACTTGTTTTTACTTCTTGTTTTAGCTTTGGAAAAGAAATTGTTTTGATATTTTTTTACGTTTCTGTTTACTTCACCTAATAATTAAGTTTTCCTACACCGTAAGACAAAATCATTCACACATGAAAATGTCTGAGGTGAGAGTTTGAGCCCACTTCATCTAGTTTTGCGAGTGATCATGTCACCACTAGACTACTACCATCTGTGGCACTGTGGTGTTAATAAATAATTAAAAAAAACATATCTATAGTAACATTATAAAGAGGCAGTTTGTTGGACGCGTTATTCTCAGGAACTACTAATCCGATTTGAAAAATTCATTTTGAATTAGCTAGCCCATTTATTGAGGAAGGCTATCATGCTACCCAAGGGACAGAGCAGTAATAATAAATGTCAACAAATCGGTCGGACTTCCATACATTATTGTAAAAACCGATCTTCATAATCAAAAAAATTTAACGCGACAGAAACAGCGTGGCTCAGCTAGTTAAAATATAAACATACTGTAGGAGCTAGCGTGATGAAAAATTGACTGCCATTGGTGTTGGGCCCAGCGTTGGCCATACTGACGGTGTAGGGACGATCGTGTTTGAGGTTCGGTCGGAACTCATCCGCGAACTCTCCTCCCCATATACTCTCTCCGCCTGTACCCGTTCCTGGAATTAAAAATAATTAATAATTATTGATATTACTTAAAAAGAAATTATTGTTAATTATATTATATAATACGGGCATTTTAAAATTTATGGGTCTACCATGTCTATTTTTGGTACACCACAGTTTATAAAGGCGTCGATGATGTACGTATCATGAACTTACGTATATATGTATATATATATATATATATATATATATATATATATATATATATATATATATATATATATTCTGCGCTAATAAACATCAGAATTAACCATGAAGCCCTGTATAAGGTTTTAAAATAATTAACAAATTAAAATTTGTATGCTAAGTAAATGAATGTTAATAAATAACATAGCTAACGGATTTTATTATAACAAAAAAAAATATCAAGTAATATTTAAAAAATGAGAAAATAATATCTTTTTATTTGAATTATTCATATTTTCTCCTCAAAAATGAAAAAATAAAATCTTGAAAAGGCGCACGTCGACAGCGCGTTCATTGCGCGTCGGAAACGCGTCAATAGCACGATGAAAAGTCTTCGCATGCATAGATAGGTCCTGTAACGTACTGTTATATCCCTCTTTACAACTCAGTAAAAACTTAGTAAGCATTTATTCAATCCACAGTATTTTTCCTTTATATTAACCTTAATCAGCAATTAGATTGTTCTTTTCTATATTTATTTAAATTTCATTTCAATAGTTGGACTCAGAGTAGACTCCCGGGTAGAATAAGACATCTATTCCGAGACGCGTTAAAGTTCGGAAGTCAAAACAATTTGTGTGGAATATTTTTTAATAGACATTTAGGTTTATTTTGTAGTCGTTTTTTTAAAGACAAACGGGGCCGCCCTCGTAACAGTACGTACGTAACAAGATTACATAGATAAATATGAATCTATCTATCCAGACAGAGGGGTTCACGCACCAGTGGGGTCCCCCGTCTGCACCATGAACCCCTTGATGACGCGGTGGAAGACGTGGCCGTTGTAGTATCCGGCGCGCGCGAGGCCGCCGAAGTTCTCGACGGTGCGCGGCGCGTGCTGCCCGAACAGGCGCACGTGCACGTCCCCCAGCGACGTGTGCAGCACCGCCTGCTCGTACAGCCGCTGCACGCCTGCGATTACATACTTATATGTTGAGTAGTAGTAGTATTTAGTAATAAAACAAATCTATCCCACGGGAACTGTACATTTTTAGGGATCAAAAGTTATCTATGTGCTATTTCAGACTATAATCTATCTCTGTGTCAAACATCCAGTCCGTTCAGCCGTTCTGGCGTGATTAAATAAAAAACATCCATCCATCCTCACAAACTTTTACATTTATAATATTAATAGGATAGTAAGATTAATTATTAATTAACCTTAAATAATAATTAATTAATAGATACATAGGTATATAAATACTTTAAATTGATTTAGCGATTTAGACGTAAAAACTGAAAATATAACAGACAGACTGACAAACAGATAATTTAAAACATTATTTTTAGGGATTTTTATTTTTAAAATATGGTAAAAGAAATGTCGTGTAATTGAGCGAAAACTAATCATTAACTCAACAAGGGACAATTTTTTACTGACAATCATGACTATAAAATAGACCTCAATCCTGAGAAATACTCGCCAAAAAAATCAGCACAACTAAAATTACTTTTTTTTATCTTTTATTTTTAAAATACAACGAATAACTACAATAATTGAAACATTACACTAGAACGAAATAATCCACAGTTTATGGTCGGTATATCAAATAGTTCCCACGGGATCGCACATACATACATATATTGCTAAAAATTAACAAAACAATAGATTAGTACATAAAAATAAAAACCAAAAGATGGTTAAATTACCTTGTCCTTCAGTCGCCGATATAATATCTTCCTTCGATGGCTTCTCATTGAATATATCTCGGTCAGCGTCCGGACTCTTCACGTCGTCGGGACTTCTACGTGAAAACATATAAAACCTGTTCTTTTTGTAGGCGGTACAGAACAGAGTGGGGTCCGTTTTAACATTTAATAGTGTAGGATTTTCCGAGCCTTCCATCTCCAATGTTGTTGCCACTTTTGATTGATTCGTTCTACCCTGTGACATTGTAAATGAAATTTATGTTCATTTAATCCTTAATTACACCAAAAATAATTCTTTAGAAATGAAACTGATATCCGGCAACTATCCGGCCGGATACAGGATAATTAAGCAATATCTGGCCGGCAACAGGACAGTTAAAAATTTAAAAAAAAATTTTTTTAGTTTGTGAAGCAAATAATACAAAATGTATGTATTATTTGTTATTTATCTTATATTTGTCTATATTATTAATAACTAGCGACTCATCTTCGCTTCGTTTGGGTTCATCCCTGGGTACGTTTTATTTTTTTGAGTGGAACCCTAATTCTTTTTCTAAAATAAAAGTAGCCCAGGGAGTAATCCCTGTAACATCAGCTGTCTTCCAGTGAAAGTCCAGCGCAAATCAGCGCAGCCGTTTCGAAGATTATCCAGAACAAACAGACAAAAAAATTAAAAATTGTGTTTGTCAACAAATAAAAGTACCTTATATAATTTCATATGCATTAAATAAAACGCTGTTATTTTGACATTACAAACAGACATTTCAATCTTATTTATCTGTATAGAAGATACGGAATAATCGAAGCCACCTGGAACAACGCGAGGCGCAGCGGGCGCAGGTTCTCGGGCTTGGCGAGCAGCGCCACGCAGCGGTTGGTGGCGAGGTTGACGAGCTTGACGCCGAGCATTGTCGCGTACGCCACGAAGTGCCCGCTCACGTCGAACACTATGTTCGCGAGTTGCGCCGCCTGCGACTTCTCCAGCTCGCGCTCCGTCGCCATCCTGCAATTGCACATTACCTAGTTAAATTATTGGAACTATATTCCATATTATACGAATAAGAACTAAACGGAAACAAGTGTAATATTTCGACCGTCACGACACTTTTTACTATTTACTAACAGCACCCCGTGTGATATTATCACAAGAACCAGACGAGCATAAGCGTTGAGGAGTGTGTGTATTAAGAACTTCGTGTACAGGTACTTTGTTTGATGAGCTACGTTTGATTTTTATGATAATATTTATGAACCAAGGGCAGACAGAGAAGAACTTCATTCCTCCGGGTGTCCCACAACACCTCTAAACTTTACTATTATTTATTTTTGTTAATCAGTATCTACTATCTATATAAATTTATGATGATTTTATGTAACTAATATATAACTGGACCAAAAATTAAACTTTAATGAAGATTTTAATATTTTCAAAATAATTAAACCTACCTTCTTCCAAACTCCATGTTTGGCAGTTGTTGAGTCTGATGTTGTAATTCTTGGAAACGCTGTAAGCTTTCATCTAGTACTTTATGTAATTTACCTGTCAGGAAATGGAAGATACGCACCTAAAATTAAATATTTTATTAGAAATATAATACTTTAATATTCAATAAGTCAACAAATTAAAAAAAAACATTACCTTTCTATCTAAACTTATAGATGCCATCTTCTTACCATCGGGAGAGAAATCTAAAGCTGTAGGATACGTTTTGTTTTTGACAAAATCAAACAAATCTGTATCTAATTTTGATGTGAATTTTACGTTTTTCGGGAACTCATATTCATGTTTGGGTCCTGTCCAATATTCCACAATGCCAGCTCTGTCCACTGAAACAGCCACTTCAAACACAGGGTTATATTTTATGGTGGCTACCTCACTTTGATGTGATTCAAATGTATGTAATGGACTTCCAGAGATTTGTGTTCCATCAAAAATGTGTATTTTGTTTGTATTTTTTTCTGATCTACAAAAATCACAAACTTGCATTAAACTTTTAATGTAGGAAAATAAAATTAAGTAAAAGTACAATATTAGACAAAAGATTCATTTTATTGTCAATGGCTTGGAATTGGTCATAGATTACTATTATATACTAGGAATTAGATTTGCATTTATATGAACAGGTGCAATTTATAAAGCTTTTTGTTAAACTTATATGTCACTAAAATCAATAATTGTTGTTGGTGGTTGCATTTGACTATTTATTATTATACTAGTGGCTCACTCTCAGGACCACGCTCGGGGTCACCTCCAGGAAAACAAAAACAACTCTATCCCGCGAGAACCATACATTTTTTCAGGATAAAAGTAGCCTATGTGTTATTCTGATGTATAAGGTATATTATTTTAGTTTCATTAAAATCCATTCAGTAGTTTTTGCGTGATAGAGCAACAAACATCCATACGTCTATACAGCCATATTCTATACATCCTCACAAACTTTTACATTTATAATATTAGTAGGATTTTGCTTTTGCAAAAATTTATGAAATTTAGAAAAATTATCTGGTGATGCTATTTCATATACATTGAAATAATATATATTTTAAATAATAAAAATATCTTACATAGCCAATGCTGATATTGGGTCCCCCGCAGAGTGTACCCATTCTGTACAATATGGTTCAAACTCAATTGAAATCATATTTATCATATCTGTAACAATACATATTTAATATTTGCTAGTCGATTATTTTTTCTAAACTCTTGACATTCAATAATATTAATTAAATGATAATATTTTATATTTATTATATATCTTATAAAACACTAGCGGCTCACTCTCGCTTCGCTCGGGTTCGTCGCGAGGTACGTTTTAAATAGCTATAAATAGTTATTAGCCAGCATTAGCCATATAATTTTTTTTTGTTAATAATATTGACAAATATTGACATTAATATTCATACGATTCTAACGTCACTCAATTGCCATCAATGTTATGCCTTCCCGGAATCTCTCCACTAACACTTAAACTTTATGTTATGGTATTAAAGTTCAAATTGACTTTTAAGTATTATTACGAATCTTTTGTATGGGAGTATAAAAAAAGTGTTGTTTTTAGACGTTTTCAGGCAATTTTTTAAATTTTTCTCTCCGTAAAAACCATCCTCGTACTTCAAGGAATATTCTAAAAAAAGAATTAGCGAAATCGGTTCAGCTGCTCTCGAGATTTGAGCTTACCAACACATTCAGCGATTCATTTTTATATTATAGAATAATTTATGCTTAAATGCAAAATAATAATTTTTTTATTGAAATTGTTGGCATGTTTACCCAAAATTACTTATTATTCTGTGTTTGTTAAATCAACTGTCTGTTTATTGTTTTTTTTCACACTAGCAACTTACCTTTGCTAAGCCCAAGCGAATACATATCCCACCGAGTGCATCCTATATATGTTATAATTTATTAAGTGGAATCCTAATTCTTTTTCTAAAATAAAAGTAGCCTTAGTTACTTCTTATAACATTCTGCCAGTGAAGGCCCCCTCAAAATCAATCCAGCCATTTCAGAGTTAGCCAGAACAAGGGAAATGGACAGACAAAAATTGTTTTTCTTATACATACCATGCATACTTTCATATGCGTTAAGTAAAAAGTTGATATTTAGACATTACAAACAGTCACTTCAATTTTATTTATCAGTATAGATTGTCAGAATCTATTGTTTATGTTATAAAAATTATACTAGCTAAGAAAAAAAAATATAAGATTTTATACTCCACTCTCTTCTTTAATTAATAAAACTTAAGAGAACTTACCAAAATTCACCACATCAAAGACTTTCACAGTCTTCTCAGTAGAGGCAGTACATAGTAAGGTACCAGTGCTATTTGTTGCAACATGACTGATTGGAGCTAGGTGACAGCGGAAATGCTTCACAAATTCGATACCCTCTTCCTGAAAAGTATAAGCTAGGATTATTTTTTTAATAAAGGTAGAATAATAGAAGCTTATAAATATATTTAAATAACATAGCAGTATTTAGTATTCTTCTTATAAATATGATGCAGTAATTTTATAGATGAGCAAAATCTCCACATAAAATATAAATTGAAATTAAAATATGACCTGTTTTTTCCAAAATTTCAGATGTCCATCTTGACTGGCAGTAACAACAAAGTGAGTTTTTGTAACTACTACATGAGTTATTATATCTCTGTGCATGTAGCTACGTTCATATGTTTCAGAAGATGGTAAGTTTTCTAGATATAATGATTCAAATTCCAATACTGTAATATACAGAGCAGAAATTATAACTTCAAAAAAAAATCAATTAAAAATCGTCTTAGGACATTGGCATGAGTAATTTGTAATAATACTTAACATTAGTATTATAATTGCTTCACTATTATTTAATAGAACTTGCCTTTGCGTTTTTTAGGCTTTGGCTGAGCAGCCTCTGAAGGCATGGGACCTATCCATCCTTCACTGTCATCTCCTTCAACGGCATTTTCTGGACTACCTGGCCTCTTCTCAGTTGACATGATCATACGTAATAAAATTCTCAGGCATTCATTAATCTAAAATAAGTAAAGACTATATTATGGAGATATGTATAATAATTTAAAACTTGGTAACTTTATTTACTGAAATGTAGTAGTTACTTATTGCTCAGGGATCTTTTCAATAACAGAATAAATGAGAAATGAAAATATCATCTATAATAAAATTAAAGTCCAAGTAAAATTAAAAAATATAAATAAATAATAGCTGTTTGACAATTTGGTTCTATTCTATAATTTTCTGTTTTTCAGTCTTCCTAGGCTTGGGGAAATAATATCGATATTTTTCCATACAATTATCGATATATTATATAATCGATATTTTTAATCGCGATTTATCGGTATTCGATATTTATTTTAGAATATTGAGTTCATATCAATTACGAAATATTTTTAAAGCAAACTCTGGTTTCGTGTTTAATGCTTCTCGATACTTCTTGTATGCTCCTCGCGCATCGTTAACGTTAAAAAATCCCGCCACAATCTTCATGAAATGTAATATAATAATAAGACTATTTGGCTGCGTGCACGAAAATACTAATACTATTAAATCAATACTATTAGTGTGAGACGTTTAAGACGCTGAAGTTAACAGACTATTAACAATTATCAGATTTTTTTAACAAATCAATTACAAAAAAAAAAACTAAAATACATGTAGAAAATAAAAAAAAATATAAGTACATTTTTTTTATAATTTATCGTTTTGAAAAAGTTTCAAAAACTATAAGACGCCGGCTAACTTCAGTATCATGAGAAGTATATACAGGGACATTTTTAATTTACTGAAAACTTTTTGGGAATACACTATTTACAACATAACAACAACATCTGTAAGAAAAAAAAATATACCTTAAATTTAACACAAATAAAAATAATTTTATTGCACCTTCTGCTTCTCAACGGTAATAGTCCAGATTTAGCAAAAGAAAGTGCTTGTCCGGTGGAGCGGGAGGGGTGGAAGGTTGTAGGAAGCCGCGCTTACTCATTTAAACTTGGCCAGATTCTAGAACTTTAAAGTTTAGAAGGTGCAAAAAAAATATTTTTATTTTTGTATGAAAATAAAAATTTAAGAAATATTATTTTTTCTTGTTACAGATGTTGTTGTTATAATGTAAATAGTATATTCCCAAAAGGTGTTCAGTAATTTAAAAATGACCCTGTATATAGGCCTTTTCACGACAAGTTCAGCGCAAGCGTATCCACCATGTTTTAAAGGCGGCAATTCAAAAGTTTCGGACAATAGAATCCACTTGACAGGCGAGCACATCAAACAGAGGGTGCTTCTATTGTCCATATCTGATGACTACTGGTTTGATTAAATGTATATAATTGTTTAGGCTTGAGCATTAATAAAAAATAGTAATTTATTTGTCTTTTCTTTTTTACGAATTTTGAATGCTTTGGGATTCACATATATATTCTGTATGGATATTCATGCGAAAATTGACGATATATCGATATTTTAAACTCGATAATTATCAATACTGTTTAAAAATGTTGATGGGATAAATATCGATATATTTTTTTCACTTACATCCCTATGTCTTTCTTCTGCTTTCTTTATCTATGGTTGTCGTCTGTAGACAGCTGTCAAGTTTTCACAGACTAACTGTAATGATTATTCAAATATAAAGATTTATATTTGTCATCATTATAGAGATTGTGAATTCGGCCATTTTGGTCGTCGCGTCGTAGTGGTTACATTTTCTTTGGTCTTCTTGCTTTAGCCCGTAACTTCTTCAGTTTTTGTCTTTTGGGAACGAATGATATTCATTTTCTTTGCGTCCTGGCATTGTAACATTTGTCATTTTAATTAAATTAGCACGCTATAGAGCTTTACAATATACAGAGGACCATAGCGACTGCGACATCTGGTGTGACAAAAAGGCAAAATTCTTGCTCATAAAAGCATTTAAGTTCAATGCAACTTTAGCAAATAAATTGAGTGATAGGTAACTATCTTTCAGAAAATTGGTTCGAAACAAAAAAAAACTTTTAGTTGTTATTCATGTTATTCTTGTATTTATTTGACTAACTACGGAAACCATAGATAAAGATGGAAACCGGATAACATTTTATTACTTGTTTTATATGGAGAAAAACCTAAAGCGAAAGCGAGCTTGTTTGTTTTTTAAATATTATGCATGAAAAGAAAATATTTGAAAATGGTAATAATGTGTTTGATCCGAGTCAGAGAGGATATTTTTATTAACAAAAATTAATAATTGTATTGTTTATTTTTATTCTATTTTTTTGCCGTACGAGATTGAAATTTATTAGCAGAAATAATATATATCATGATTTAGAGCTTAAAAATTCACATAAGCGTGTAAGCGAAACTGCTGTATCTTGTATAGAAACTTTATGTATGAACTATTTTACGAATGCATTCAAACTTTTTTTTATTATTGTGTCTATGCTCAAAATGTCTTTTACGAATTCGTAGTGATGGTGGCTGGCTTCCTTGCAAACATAGCGTCATAAATTACGACTAATTTGTAAATTTTCTATAGTTTTTGATCGATTAACGGTCTCTTTAATAGTGCTTTAAGTGTTTAAGAAGTCTCACAACAAATAGGTAAGTGTAAAGTGTATCATCGTTCTTTAAACCGCGCGCTACCGGTACCCCTACACGTGGTTTCAGTATAATACCGCGTACTTACATCAAATACATTTCAAGAAAGAAATTCAATATCAAAGGGTAGTTTACGCACAACTTACTATAAATTTTAAATAATTACAAGTCAGCGCAGTGTGATCAGGTTGTTTAATGAACGTGGTGGTACTGACAGCACTACAGCAGCTACATCTACATACAAAAGCTGTTTAGAAATTCGAGGTATTTTAATGTCTATATCTACATCTTTTCAGCAATCTTGATTGATCTATGAGAATAGTATATATTTTTTGCATTATGTACATTATTTACTATGATATTACCTGAAACAACGTTCGTTGTGCCATGTAGTCAACTTTTCTTTTTTACTCATGACGCATCTAAGTGTCATAAACGCCGTATGAGAAAGTAGAATTTGCTACCTTATTAGTTATTACTAATTACATCGTTTTTGAATAAATTTTGATAAACTTCTCAAAAATATATTGTAGCTAATTGACCATATAAATGTGTGCCCCATTATAACCTTGACAAAATGTTCACACAATTGATTATAGTCAACATTTATCATTTTATAGTAACATATAACATCAATTTCTAATGAGATGCAAATATGATTATTTAATTAGTTGTTACTAATGACTGTTAGTAAAATACTACCTAACTAGTTATCAAATTGATTTTTTTTAAATATATTATCATACTCTTTATTACATAAAATGCACATATAAAGTAAGCAAGTGCTATTCATGTAATTTTAACTAACAGTATTTCGAATAAATTTGTGTTTGATCTTTTTTTTTCTTTCATAAAAGCAATATTGAGACAAAGAAATATTCTCTTCTTCAATTTATAGGTAATAACCTTATATCATATTCTATTGTTACAATATGAAACTTTGTATAATTTTAAGAATTTCCCCAATTTTAATCACTAGCAGTCAATTAAATCTAATACTATTAACACCTTGATAATGAAAATATGACATTATCATGATAAAACTAGGTAATACATACATCATAATGGAAAGCTATTTATGATTAATAACAGTATAAGGTCTTATATTTATCTCATGTCTTTTACATGGAATGATCATTTTACACTGGTGAAGTAAATTAAGTTTTACTAAGGCACTTAAAAAACTATTTAAAGGAAAATTAAATTGATATCGAGAATCTGATAAAATCAGTCATTTGACATATTTCAAATTTATCTATGGTATAAATTTTCTGTCATGAATACTCATTAATAAAATAAGTTTTAATTACTAATTCTAACTTAATATAAATACCTACTATACTTGCTATTTTAAAAATCTTTATTTATATTGAACATTTGTAAAGTATAGTGTTGTATATAAAAGAATATTTATTTACATACAAAAAATTTTTTATAGCAAATCATATGAAACTTGCTTGTCTCATTTGAAATTAACAAATAATTTATGCAGCCACTTATTTCAAGTTGCATTCTTGAATATGAAATGAAATAATTAACATGTAATTGACTTTCCCCAGATAAAGGTCAATGTCTTAGTTATTGACACCATTAACTTTCTGATATCTAACAGATTAAGATGTTTCCGTTTATTATTTATGATGATGTAGTCATAATCTTATGATTATGAATAAGTACTCATTTAATAAAGCAAAAAAATATAATTAAATATGATATTTTCATAACAAAACTTTCAATAGGTAGGTTTCATACAAACTTTCATCCCCTATTTTACCCCCTTATGGGAATAATTTCGAAAAATAGTCAAATATGTATTAATTTAATTGTATTGAAGAGTATTAATACAAAGTTTCAAGTAATTCTGATCATAAATATTATTTCGGGTTGTATTATAACGTGATTTTCGATGGGATTGAGATAATCTCCTGCGGTAAAGTAGCCTATGTCACTCTCCAGCCCTTCAACTATCTCCACACATAAAATCACCCCAATACATTATTCCGTTTTGATGTGAACGAAGGACAAACAAACACACTCACATTTATAATATTAAGTATGGATATTTCTTGAATAGCTGTAATTTTCTGACATGTTAAAAACTATTCTAAAATAAAAACAACCATCTAGATTTAAAAAAAATATAAGCCATTTTGACTAAGTATATAATTTTTTATGGAATTACCTAGTTTATCATTTTATTCATATTGTGTTTTTATGTTTAATTATCAAAAGTCTATCTGAGAAAACCGATGTAAGATTATGATAACAATTATTTATGAGATAAGATGCATATGTATTTAGAAAAGTATAGTTATTTATAATATGGAGAATAACACTATTTTAATATATTATTTTCAATTTATGACATGTTTGCCTCAGTTTGTAGTGACTCTACTTGCTGTGCCGGTGGTCTCGGGTTCGAGTCCCGTGGGGGGCATTCATTTGTGTGATGAGCACGAATGTTTGCACTCCAGTCATGGATGTTTATATTTATAATATGTATGTATTTAAAATTATATATGTGTAGTGTATTAACTATCTGGTATCTATAACACTAACCTCGTAACTTACTATGGTACTAGATGATGTTGTGTTTTAATGTCCCAACATATTAAATTACATAGTTGGTCCACTGATTTTAATATACTCCATAAAAGCAATATTATACTTAATTTGTAAGTTCTTTAAAAATATGCCACATGCATTAATTAAACAAACAACAATAAAAAGTCAAATTTCATGTATATATTATATTGATGATATTTATGTGTGGACTTTCAGTTTACAACTGAACCTATAACTTTCAGTGCTGATTGTTTCCATGTCCATGAACAAACATTGGCGTTTGTCGTTTTCATGGAAGTTTATATTGTTTTGTCAAATGGGCAACTTGTCCATTTCTGTTGTTAGGTTGCAATGAATTATCCGCAACATTGTTATTATTGTCATATATTTAAGAAATAGCTATCTTTAGACAATTGATTCGCATCCATTAAATTGTCTTCTATATTACTTCGTGCTACGCGTTTCGATTGGCCGTAATTGTAACGGTCCATACACATTGGTGAATAAACCGCTGTTTAGTTCCTTTGAATGTGCCTTCGTTATTTATATAGTGTGGGAGTCATGCGATTCGATTAGGTGTAAACTGACAGTATGGTGCTATAAGTGCCCGCTCTATAGAGCGCTTCAGTTAAGTCCTATAAAATATGTAAAGTACAAGGTGTTCTTAATTATTCAATGGAATTCTTTATCATGGCTTTTAAGTGTGCCAATGGAGATAAAAAATGTCGCCGTAACGTGAAATAGAAAGAGAGCACGAAACATTTTTTATCTGTAATGTAGTCTATTAAGTAAACATTTATTTCAAAACAAGATTATGCTAACGGTATACACTGTTGTTTGTATAAATAAATAACGGTTAAGCCAAATTAATTATCTATACATATATATTAAATTGTAACTAAGCCGAATCTGTACATTAGATATTTTTTGGAAAATCTTATTGAAATAAACATTATTATCGATACAGAGGCCGAATCTATAGTTTTTAGAATTTTTGTTTGTCTGTTTGTAACCGCATCACAGAAAAACTACTGGAGGGATTTTGATGAAATTTGGTATGGGGATAGTTGGTTATCCGGGTCAACATATAGGATACTTTTTACCGCGGGAAAGTATCTCATTTCTGAGAAAAAATACAAAAACTGGATTGTAAGAGTATACTAATAATATGTATAACCTAAGAATTTGGTTTTTGGTCATCTGAACGCGGGCGGAGCCGCGGGCAATGCTAGTAAATTATAAAATGCAAATTTTACAATGAAATTGTATAATTATTAATTAACCGTGATCTTGCCTCATACTCTTATCAGCTCGGATTAACCATGTCAATCAAAGAGAGTGCAATTGTGATTGTCGAATGTTTTCCCGCTTATGTGGTTGACGGTGCGAGTGAAAGAGATGCAAGAGGACAATGACCGTTGCATTCGTTTTCTGTTATTACTACAATGACCTTAAATCTGTTATGAATGACGTTTAGATAAATCTTTTTGATTTTAATAATTTTCTAGTGTATATTTTTAATCTTTTAAAATAATAAAACTGTAAATAAAGCTTTTTACAAATTAAAAATTGTTTTACTTTTTTTTAAATATTATTTTTATGAATATATTTTTTTTAATTTTAAATTCGAAAAATAATCCAATTTATTTCTCATTACAGCAATGAGTGCAAGCGTGTGCTACAAGTGTAACAGGACGGGGCACTTCGCCCGCGAGTGCACACAGGGCGGCGTTGGCGCCCGCGACTCCGGATTCAACCGTCAACGCGAAAAGTGCTTCAAGTGCAATCGCACTGGGCACTTTGCGCGCGATTGCAAGGAGGAAGCTGACCGTTGCTACAGGTGACTCTTTTCTTTGTTTATAATTACAAAGTTTGGAAATGAGAAAGTTGGAGGAGCCCTTTGCCAAAAGGCACACAGAAAACATCAATATATCTGAAAAACTCTGTAACTGTGACTCCTGTAATAAAGGCTATTTTTTTATTTTATTTTCAAATTTTGATAGATGGGAGATTAGGACTACACACTCATGACTAATGCTGATGATAAGGACATAATATTTTAGTTACGTAATAAGATATATATGTTTTATTATAATTATATTCGTTTTCTATACATATTATACATATTGCCAAATTTGAAATGACTCAGAGTAAATCAAAGAATCCACAAAAGTACATATTGGTACAATTGTAGGAACACGTGCACTAGCCCACGCAGAGTCGGTGTATCACGTAACCTTGACCCCGACCTCGATTAATCACGCGGCTGTTAAGAGGCTTACTGCTTACGTGTGACAACTAGACAAACATGATTCATTATTACAATATATGCAAGTAATGCTTTGTCAAATAATTTATGGCATTTTGATTTACTAAATTATAACTAAATTAATTTATGATCAGTACGGACCTATAATTTTATGTTCCATTACATTCTTTATTTGAGTTAAAAGTCCCATGTAAAGTTTAATACACTGTCAACAATGATTAGTTGTATGATAACATGTATTATTATCATAGATATAGCAAGATTCTATATGGTTACCTTATCAACAAAGGTTTTTAAAATACTCTTTAAGTATACATTGCGAAATAAAATATATCGGCGTGTTATAGCAATGATGGTAGAATTGTAACATTTATTTATTGTGTAATGTGTGATTAATGATTGTGTACTGTTGTGATGTGCAGATGTAACGGTACGGGGCACATAGCGCGCGAGTGCGCGCAGAGCCCCGACGAGCCGTCGTGCTACACGTGCAACAAGACGGGGCACATCGCGCGGAACTGCCCCGAGGGCGGGCGCGACAGCTCCAACCAGACGTGCTACAACTGCAACAAGGCCGGCCACATCTCGCGCAACTGCCCCGACGGCACCAAGACGTGCTACGTGTGCGGCAAGCCCGGCCACATCTCGCGCGACTGCGACGAGTCCGAGCGCAACTAACACAGCGCCCGCCCCACGCTACTCACTATATATTACGATGCCACGCACGGACTGTAAGCAAAGGACGCGATACGCGACATAGATAAGACCACAGAGTATGAAATTCAAGCAACGGAATTATAAGAGTAGATGCAGCGACGGTAATCTCGCGAGAGACTGAGGATTTTAAATGTTGACTTGTATATAGGTCTCCCGCCGCGCCGCGGGCAGCGCTCGCCGTAGGTTAATGTTTGTTCTTGCACGTGAAAGAGTTGTGTTTTTAAATCATTTAATAATCGTGATTGAACTATTGATGAGGTAGCGTTACAGTTTTTAGCATTACAGAGTATATATTTAATATATTTTGTACAGATTTATTTGTCGAAAGATAAATTGGATGCTGGCGTATGATGAGTTTTCAATGAGGAGAGTTGGAGGCCCCGGTGCACCCGAACCCTTTCGGACTCTCTTGTTCGTCTTGTTATTATCAGTTACGGTAGTTAGTCGCTCTAACCGGTCGAACTGCGGTCCGACGAGTCTCTGTCCTGACACCATTGTGATAATTTGATTTTTTTTATCAATTCCTTTGTTTATGAGGTCCTGCTGACTTGTGGAGAATTCAGTGGTTAATTAGAATTTCATCAATCAGTATATTTTTTATTTTGTTATCCCTGTCAATGTGCCTATGTACATGTACACTATAATGTAAAATATCAGCTTGCAGTGGGAGATAATAAACATCTTGCCTTATTTTTATCAAAGTTTCCATCACGCCCTTTTTGTTTTCACATAGTTTTAGATAAGTTCATTGTACACCTAAATTTGAATCTCCCAAGAATAATAATAAAGCAGACTGAAACAACTACTTGTAATAATCGACGAAACAAGAGGGCTAAACCTATCCTTTAACCACAACCTTTCATTAATGTTCAATTATGCACATTTAAATGAGATGTTTTACAAGACAAGAATATAATATTACAAAACTAAACTTTATTAAAAATCATTATCAACAATTTTCTAACCATTGGTGAATAATGACTATATATTTCAAATTTCAACGAAATCTGTTAATTCAATAAGTTTTAAGCACTTTGCGACTAAAACATTCTAGATAGCAAACCTGCGGGCAATAAATATAATGTATTTTTGTTATTCTGTTCATTATTTAACAACCTAATAAACAACACTACGATAAACAACAAAAAGTTAATAAAAAAAAATTCTCTATGCCTATTGAAATTACGTATTTATTTAAAAGAAATAATTTTATTAATTATAGAGATAGTTGAACTATTAAAATATACTTGGGCTGGATATTTATAGACGAAGGTATTGGAATATTTATATTCTAAGTTAATTATTGGAAAATAACGTAAAAATGGCTGACCTGATTGCATAGTGACCTTTGTCATTTAAGTAATAAGCTTGCAAATCAAAAATGTAAAAAGTTATTTGATTTAAGTATTTTTTGTATAAAAGTCTTATGGATCATTAAAAAAAAATAAGAGTGGATAGTAAGATCATTTGGGTTAAACTAAGAAATTGCAAGGCACCCAGGACCGGCCTTAGCCATCTGGGCGCCCCGGGCGAGTCATGCCTTTGGCACACTTTAAGGTATACTTATTACAATTAAAAAAAAAACGTATATGTAGAATTATTAGTGAGAGATACGACAAAACGCTGAGTCTAGTTTTCCTTTAGATTGATAAAAATAAGTATTTGAGCTGCCGCGCGGCGGCGCCCTGTATAAATAACCTGCCCCCCAAAACCCGGCACTAAAGGCACCTCGCATGATTGAAATAACTGTCGGGCGAAGTTCATCGACTTGCTGGTACGGCATCATCTCGTGAATAAGTGAAGAACAGAAGAACAACGTCGGGTAGGAAGTTACAGAATAAAGTATGAAAACTTGAAAAGTCTACATATGTATCATACAGTATAAAAACTTGTTGGTAGTCAAAAATCTTAAATTCTGAACGAATTTTAATAATACATAGCTGTAGGCTACTTTATATTTTGTTTTAGCTCAGATTACGATTAAGCATAAATAATTTGTTGGTTTTCTTCTCACGCTAACAGTCTGCGCTGATAGGTCAATATGTACGTAATATGAAGCGTTCCCTACTAATGCTGGCGAACAACAGCGCCGGAGCTGTAAGCACCGCGCGTCGGCGGTGCCACGGTCTTGGGCTGGCTTTCTTCTACGGTCAGCGCCAACGAACTACCCGCCAAGAGTCGGCGAAAGAAGAAAATCAGCGTGTAAAGCAAATATGTAGACCGTTAACAGCAAAGAGTATGTAACCACTATGTTGAAGCGGACTACTCGCACACCTGCCGCAGGGGCAATCTAGGGAGCACGGTGGTCGCGGTAATATCGAAGCTGTCTGATGTCTCTAGCTCTCTACATACATGCCTGATAATCAAAGTTCGGGTAAAGTTGGGCTATGGATGGTCTCGCGCCGAATCCGCAGGGGTAATCTAGGAAATTGCCCCTGCTTGCCTACACACACCACAATTTGGGTGGCAATTAAGAGTCATCCCAACTTTTACACCCTAGATTATCCCTGCGGCAGTTGTGTGAGTGGCCCGCTTAACAGTTCTTCAAAAAGTCAGTGATACCATATATGTATCTAAGTTATTAATTTTAATAGAATATTTGCTTTTATAAATAAAATATATATTTTTCGACTCCAGTAAGGTTTGTCGGATTATCAGATCTATACATATAATAAAATTGTAACTAAGCAGAATCTGTACATTAAATATTTTTTGGAAAATCTTATTGAAATAAATATTATCGATACAGAGGCCGAATCTATAGTTTTTAGAATTTTTGCCTGTCTGTCTGTTACCGCATCACATCAAAACCATTGAAGTAAGAGTATACTAATATGTAAAACTTAAGAATTTGGTTATCTGAACGCGGGCGGAGCCGCTGGCAATGCTAGTACTACTATATACATATAGTGCGTCGAGGTCAAGCGTTGATCAACAATAATAATAGTATGTACTATGTTGTTGTTGATCGAAGTCGTCGAGTCACGAGCATAGAGTATGTAACCCTTTTTGTCACGACTCACGAGTGACGACGTCAACGAGAGTGCCATAGAGTATGTAAGCCGAATCAAATTGATTATTTATATCATTTGAAAACAATGAAAAAAATATTTATACCAACAGAGTTTTTAGCTATATCAATACTTTTTTTAACTTAGGTAATACCTACGCTTGGTTAGTCAGACCAACTAGAACTAAGCCCGCTAAATCTTAGAGTATACATACGCTATATGTATACTCTAAGCGCTAAGATATATCAATATCAGTATATCATGTATATAAAAAATCTTTACACAGTTTATAGGTATTCCGTCATATCCCTACCTCGGTAAAATGAAAAAAATGTAGTTATAATTAAGAAAAACATATTCATCAACACCAACCATTTTAAATAAAAAAAGGGTTTATTTCGGTTTCAAACGGGTTTTTTTTCGTTTTAAGTGGATGAAACCAGCCTTAGGTACATTTACAGACTAAGGCCAATGAAAGGTATTACGTGCATTTGTGCGCTTCGCTTTTCGGGCGCTAGTAATGTATTTTCTCTTTTATTATATTATACATATATTATATTACTACTACAATATACATTGCCAAAAATGAATAAATTTAAAATACCTTTAATAAAGCTAAACAAGAAAATTGAGCATCTAAAATCAATACTTGCCATATATAAAAAATTATGAATTTCCTCATAAAATTCAAAATAAGCTTATTATTATTAGTAAAACGTAGAACAATAAATAAAAAAATATCATAATGTTATTTTTTTAGAATTCTTACTACGTAAATTATAAACATTTTTTTTACTGTAATGTGCTATTTAATTTCCGGTAGATTACGGTTTAGCCATCTGTCATTTTAAATTGGCATTAACCGGGCGTGGTGCGGCTGCGCCGAACGAGTTTTGGCTTTTGTTGGATACTTTTTATGTGAAGTGAAGTGAGTAGTATGACGGTGTAACGAACTTGTTTGTTTTCCAAAAATTCAATTTATTCCCTTCAAAAATATTATATATTTTAATATATAATATATTATTTGAATAAGTATCTTACCTGCTAATATTGTGTTTGTGTTGTTATTATATTTTGTACAGAGACATAAAGCCAGGCGTTTCCATGGGCGTTAACTTCAGGTTAAGTAATTGTAAGTTGTTATTGAATTAAAATTAGGAATAATCATCTCTTGAATTGCTTAAAATAAATTCAAGTTAAAAGTACAGTTAAAGTTCCCATTTTTATACATAGAAATGCCATAAAAAATAGTTTTTAGTCAACCCGCTCCACTGAATTTAAAACATAACATACTGTTTATGATAACTTCCAGGTTAATGAAATTGTGCACTAACTTACTTTACGAAAATGGAGAATTTAGACGAAGCTAAAAAAATATTTAATCAATATAATAATTTTTATTTATTATTGTTACAGATTACTGAAACTATAAGACTGAAGTATGAATCTCATAGTACAAATTATACCGTTATCATTATTAGTACAGCTATGCTTGAGCCAAGACTATAATTTTCCTAACTACAATCAACAAAATCCAGGGAATCTAAATCCCACTAATGATTATAGCAACACCAATAATCCAAAATATGATAATCCATATGATCCAAATCGGAGATTCTCTAATAGAAATCAATATGATTTGAACCAAAACCAATATGATAATGATCAGAAGTTAAACCAATATGATAATCGTAATGAACCAGGGTTTGATCAGAATCCATATAATGGAGATAACACACCAAGACCTTCATGGGACAATAGCCGTACATATGGCACCTCATACAAAAGTTTTGATTTAGATAATGACAATGTTATTATTAATGAGGCGTAAGTAAAATTGCTGTGTTTCTATTATGTTTATATAATTAATATTACCAATTTTCATAGTTAATATTCAATAAGTTTATATTACTAAGTTATTTAAATAGATACTGCTAATAATATTGACATTTTCATAGGAATACATTATGAGAAAATTAAAAAAAATAATAAACCTTTGAATTTTTTTAGCACATACTTCATAGTAGCATCTCAAATGGTGAGACCAGGACAAATATACAAAATATCTGCTAATATATTAAGGGCTAGATTACAAATGACTATAAGAGCTTCAATATCATGCAATGGAGTAGAAATAGCAGATGTTATTGAAAAAGTGAAGGAAGGTGTACCCGAGATTCTCAATATGAGGGTGAGTTTAAAATTATATAAAGTAACTAGCAAGGCCCGCGGCTCCGCCCGCGTTCAGATGAGAAAAACCAAATTCTTAGGTGTTACATATGAGTATATTTTAACATTGCAGTTTTTGTATTTTTTCTCAGAAATGAGACATTTCCCTGTAGTAAAATATCCTATATGTTGACCCGGATAACCAGCTATCACCATACCAAATTTCATCAAAATCCCTCCAGTGGTTTTTCCGTGATGCGGTAACAGACAGACAGACAAAAATTCTAAAAACTATGAATTCTGCCTCTGTATCGATAATAAAGTCTATTTCAATAAGATTTTCCAAAAAATATTCAATGTACAGATTCGGCTTAGTTACGATTTTATTATATGTATAGATTGTATATTAAATAACTTTAATTTTTAAACATTTAAATTTTTTGTTGTTTTATTAATTATTTAAAATATTAAGAAGTTATAAAATTAAAGTTTAGCTAATTAGCTAGATAGAATTTTGTTTAGTATTAAATTTCTCCCTTTAATATATGTATTCTAAAATCATGAAAGTTTTTAAAAAAAATAATTTGTTTATATCATTGCTTAACATGAAAGAATACTAATTGCATGACATTCTAATTGGAAATGCTGTTTAATTAGCACAAATCATATTGGCATTCATAATAGAAAATCGCATAAGCCTATTACCGATCCCTAGTGACTAGCTACTATAGTTATGCATAGTTCAATATTTGTATAGCACTTAGCAGGTTGCAATAACTTTGTATATTTTATTAAAACTTTTAAATGTTAGAATAATAGTATCAGTACCTGGGCGTTTGAGCTTCGCTCGGTAGTTTTTGGCCAAAAACACAATTTTCTTTTTAATTTGGCTTACAAATAAAAAATAAACTAAAAACTTGAATAAATACAAAAAAAACTAAAGTAAAAGCTTTTTGTCACATCGGGATTCGAACCCGAAAACTGTAATTGTTAATCTTGCGGCCTAGCCGCTTGACCACGATGCTTATGTCCGAGCGTGTGAAATTAGCGACCATTTTGCGTGCGAAAGAAAACCGCATGAAAACTCGAAAAGACGCGTTTTCCTAGACATGAGACTAGTCTAGTACGATTTTTCTTTCTCGAAAACCCCCACATAGCAAAATTCAGCAAAATCATTATAGCCGTTTCCGAGATCGCCGGTATAAATATACAAGAATTGCTCGTTTAAAGGTATTAGATATATATCATCTTTAAGTTATAACTTATCAGAATACAACACAATCTTAAGCACAATAAAAGAATGATTGGAAAATAAACATATAACAATATAATCTTGGTAAATGTAAATGAAGAAAACTAATATTTCATACAAGCGTTTTATCTCTCGCTCGACCCACGTCGTTATATTTGGAGAATTACTCTGCTCTTGTATGACGTTAGATAGCCTATAATCTTCTTCAGAAAATACACTATAAAATACAAAAAAATAATTTTCAAATTGGACCAGTAAATTCAGAGATTTAAGCTCTCAAGTAAATAAACTCTGCAGGTTAGTATAGACTTATTTAAAAATTAATAATTTAAGAATTCCATCCAAAATTATTGTTATTTTAATATATCTCAGATACCAGCTACAACAGTTCCTGGTGATTATAAACTTCGTGTGGAAGGCTTATATTTGGATGACCCATTTGGAGGACGCGCATTTGTTAACGAGACACAGTTAATATTCTCTAAGAGATTTATGACAATTTTCATACAGATGGACAAACCTGTGTATATGCAGAGTCAAACAGGTAAACATTTATTAATATAGAGAGCACTCTGATCTTAACAGCAGCTTATGTTTATTCACTCCAACTTAGTCTATCTGCAAAGGAAATTTTATTCAAATCCATCCAGCAGTTTAGTGTTAAGGAGTAACAAACATACACATGCATACAAACTTTCGCATTTATAATAGCAATCAGGTTTTCGTAAAACTAGTATTCTTTTAAGTCATTATTAATCTAATATGTGGCAGTGGTAGTCCAGTGGTAAAGTGCTTACTTGGGAAACCGAATAAAGAGAGTCAAATCCCAGCTTACACCTCTTATATTTTCATGTGCGAATCATTTCTAACAAGTTTTAACCACGTGTCTTGCATGTAAACAAATTGCATTGCATGTCAGAAAGGACCTAGCAAGTTTTCGAAAGACATGTGAAGTGGTGGACTGAGTCCTCCTATTCATATGGAAGAGTGGCACATGTCCAGCAGTGGGATGTAAAAAATTGCTGAATACATATTAATATCTTTGTATATATATTTTTTTAGATTTATTAATATTCTAAAGAAAAATCAATTATAATTCTTGCTACTCAATGAATTGGTTCTTAATAGTTACTCTAGAAATAGTTATATTTCCCAATGGCCAGTTAAGTGCCAGGTTTATTTTGAGAGCTCTCTGTTTCAAATATTATATAACTCAAACTTTACAATGTGGGTTAACTCAAAGAATAAAGTTAAACATAGAAGTGATATATAGATTTTTTGTTTATGAAAAAATAAGTTTTGCTTATATTTATTATTATTGAATCATTATTTTTTATTTAATTGTGAAAAAACGGATACATATAATTCTTGTAATTATTAGCATCTTAACAAGAACCTAAATAAAAATAATTTTAGGATGGACAACAATTATTTACATTAAAAAAAAATATTTACTATAAGGATTAATTTTTAAAAGCACTCTTAATTATCAAAACATTGATTTTTGAGAGTTTTTTTTATATTTTTTAGGTGTAAATATGTTACAAGTATTTGGTTTAAATATATAGAAAGTACAATAAGGAATAATTTATTTTGGAAACATTTACAATAATTAAATACAACCCCTATTTTTGAATCTATTGGAATAGGCATTATTATTTTTAATTTTTATGATTTATTTTTCAGTACGATTCCGGATTATTCCAATAAATACAGAGCTGAAGGCATTCGGAAGGGCCATCGACGTGTTTATACTCGATCCAAATAGACGTATTATGAAGAGATGGCTGTCAAGACAGGTAATATTCTTCTAAAAATTAATAATTGTGTTACAACTTATTATTTAATTAGCGACTCATCGTCGCTCTGCTCAGGTTCGTCCCTGGTTACGTTTTAGCGTTTAGTACAGATTTCTCAGAGATGAGTTGTTTTTTCACAGTAAAAAGTATCTTATATGTTGATCAGAGAAAAAACAGCTATTATTATTCCACATAAATATCTGTCCAGCGATTTTCTCGCGATGCGTTCTCAGACATACATACATACACAAATTCTAAAAACTAGATTCGGCCTCTGTGTCGATAATAATCACTATTTCAAGAATATTTTCCAAAAAATATTTAATGTACAGATTTGACTCAGAATTTTATTATAATATGTGTAAGTTTTTGTCCCATGATTTTATAAAACACATAGTTGGTTTTCACCTGTTATAATTCTAATTTGAATTTATTCTTAATATCAATGTAATTTGTGCATGTAAAGTAATATAGTATTTCGATATAACATGCTTCATTTTACAAAATGATTCCTCAGAGACATCAAAAACAAAACGTCATAAAATTTCATTGACTTTAAATGGCTTCATATGACATACAACAATGAGGGTATAAAAGAAAGGAAATCTGTCGATAATTATCCTTTTGTGTTTAATGTTTTCAGCTTTTAATGATAATAGCTGAACATAGGCTAAATATTATTATTTTAATTTGAAACAAGTGAAGTGAAATTCATTACTGAAAAATTAGGCCAAATATTTGTGTTTTATGTCATTTTGAAGACACATTTGGCTCAGTTTGAAGTGCTTGCTTGCTGTGCCAGCGGTCGCGGGTTCGAGTCCCGCTGGGGGTATTCATTTGTGTGATGAGCACGATTGTTTATACTCTATCATGGGTGTTTATATTTATAACATGTATGTATTTAAAGTTATATATGTGTAGTGTATCAACTATCTGGTATCCATAACACAAGCCTCGTAGCTTATCATGGTACTAGATGGAGCTGTGTATTAATATCCCAACATATTATTTATTTATTTATAAGAATTGAGTGTAAAATTTGAAGAAGTGGAATATAAAGGGCTATGTAACTGAAGTTAGCACCCCGTTTGTCATTTGACTCTATGAATGCTTATTATTCACAGGATTTAAAAGCATTTCATGAATATGTTAACAGAGCAACTTCGGTACAGTGAGTCTCCAGTACCAATTGTCAGATCAGCCACTATTTGGTGAATGGACAGTGCGTGTCGAGGCATTGGGGCAGACTGAAGAGGCACAGTTTCTTGTTGAAGAGTATTATCAAACTAGATTTGAGGTAATTTTATTTTTACCATACAGGCTCTGTTTGACAAATTACTTTAAAATTGTATAGCCTTTTTAGTCACTTTCATGGAGTGGAAAATTACATGTAAATAATAATAATGTCGGTTGGTGTCATTGTAATTCTGCAAAGGGAGTTCATGGTTAGGTCTCAGTTTGAAGTGAATGAATTTTTAAAAATCTTTTTATATTTTATAGTCAAGTAATTGAGGGAGGTTATAAGGCTGGCTACCTTACATCATACTATGACTTCTGAGTCAAGAATTATTGAACAAAATTAAATGTTGTTGGAACCCTAAAAAACACCATTATGTCTCAAGCAATAAAATAATTATTAACGAGTATTTATTTAACACGTCGACAGGTGAACGTGACGATGCCGGCGTTCTTCTTCAACACGGAGCAGTACATCCACGGGCGCGTGATGGCCAACTACACGAGCGGCGCGCCCGTGCGCGGCAACCTCACGCTGCGCGCCACGCTGCGCCCCGTGCCGCAGCACCGCCCCGCGCACTACGCGCGCGGCCAGTTCAACAACCTCGGCCCGTACGGCGCGCCGCCCGCCGACCAGTACACGAGGGGTACTTGTTTTATTGATTTAGATGAAAGCACAATAACAACATACATATTAAAACATTTACATACATTTTGAAGACAATTATAATTAATTAATCAGATATGTATGTATGTCTTTACAAGTGTACATAACATTCGCTATAATTACATAATCAAAAACTGTTGAGTTTTCGCCGGTTCTTGTCAGCAGAAATGCTCTCCGAGCCGCTGGTAGCTTCCTCACGGACTGACTACACTGACGCTTTCATTAAATTGACGATTCAAAAGTACTTGTATTAAGTCTAATTGAATAAAGTTTATTTCATTTCATTTCAAAAGTATAAAATTATAATAAACGCTATAATTATAGTACGCATATGTTGCTATCGATCAGTATAGTACTAGATACACAATCAGCAACTAAAAATGTCCTCGCCGAATGAGCGCTCGTTTAAATATTTGAGCGCGCTTTTATTTTAATTTTTTAATGAAAACAATTTTAAGCACTGCATTTAGAGTTCAATTTTCATTCTTATATTTTTATGTTAATCATAATAATTACGTAAACACAATTGGTGACAGTTTTAAGAGAACTTTTGCATGGGATTGTGTAATCTATATCTAGTACTTATTTTTGATCGATGTATGTCGCAGATGGATTGTGGAATCTACTGTTTTAGAAAATCGCTAGTTGTTTTATATAACAGCCAATTTTATATAACGCCATTACGTAAAACAACCATTTTTATTATAAAATTGAACTTTTTTTTATTTAAAAAGTATATTATAAAAAAAAATACAAAGCATAATCTCTCTTTATATTTATTTCGTTGTTAAAAAATCTTTTAAGTAAAAGGATTTATTGATAATTATTTCCGTCAACAGTGCGTCCGAACTACAACCCGTACCTGTACAACGAGTCGGAGTACTCGGAGTCGGAGGCGCGCTACCGGCCCGGCCAGCCCAACCAGATCGACCAGCCCGGCTGGTGGTACGACCCGCAGAAGGTTTACACTAGGATATTTAACTTTGTAAGTTCCCTTATTTTAATATTGGATTATTGTAAAATGTTGATAATATCATACTTAATGCAATGGAATTATAATAGTTTTGAAATCTATCAATAAATGACTGAGAAATTAATTTGAATTTCGGTCGTTCAAGTCTTGTGACGTCACGAAAGTATTCTAACAAGCGCGACTTAAAAGCTTCATAATTTTTTAATAATTCTGTCATACTTTTGTTATATTTTGCTTAAATTTTTATAATTGAAAAAAAAATATGGGAACTGTCTCCATTAAACCTACATTGCGGTTATTGTTCGGATTATCATAGAAAGGCGAAAAGACGAATGATACAAGTTACGAAATATATTTATGTTTTTTCCAGGACGAAAAATACCCCTTCTGGATGCCGAAACCGGACCCCATAGAGCTCAATAATAATCTCAATCCGAACAACCCCTACTACAACACATACAGCACTTCATCTACTTACAATTATATTTATAATAACCCAAATTACGACCAGCTGCCGTATTTGAGATTTGTGAGTATAGCATTTTTTTTAAAGGATTATTAATTATTTGGCCTTTTTTAACATCTCTTCCTTCAATGACAGTTTGCCAAGGCTTTCCAAAATATCTTAGTTTTCAGCCTGTAGCCTTACTCACTATGTTTTCCATTGCTTTAATTCCTCCACGACCGCGGACACGCCGGCGTTACAGTTAACAATAGATTTCTTAGAAATTTAATTAATTTCTTAGAAATTTACCTGGAGGTGTTAAATATTATGATAATTAAAAAGAAATCATGTACTTGAAAATCATAAGAGATGCGAGACCCAAGTTGAACCAGCTTAATACTTTCTTAGTTTTCACGAAAATTTAAGATTTTTAATAAAAAGATTGATTTTTTTCATTCCGACGTTTCAAATGCTTTACAGCAAATAATGTCAATATCTGGGAAAAAATCCGAAAAGATAGTTTTATATAAAATTGAACCCACTTTCTATTTCCAGCAAGCCCTAATTATAGCATTAAGCATATTGTATTCAGCCGTTTTTTTAACATCCCATTGCTGCGGAGGGGTCGCCCTTCAAGACGAGGATCAGGCCATAAGTGTATAGTAACATTTAATTTTAATTCCTCAGTTCAACGGCACCTACGACTTCAAATACCCAATGTCGGAGCTCGCCCAGCTTGTGCCCACGCTGGACGGCGTGGAGCTGATCATCACCGCGTCCGTGGGCGACCCATTCCTGGACGAGGTTATAGAAGGATACAGTATCGCCAGGATATTCAATTCGTCATTAACCGTCACATTCCTTGGCGGTGAATTGCAAGTGTTCAAACCGGCTATGCCTTTTGATGTTTATGTGAGTGTTGTTGTTTTTATTGTTGTTTGTTATTAGCTTAGTGGCTAATATGCTATGTAGTAAGTAGTAGATTATGAGATTCTGGGTTTGAGTCAGGATTGATGAGGATGCCTTATTAGATTAATTGCAAGGAATGTACAGCTGTAGATTTTGAGTCTAAAAGCTAGAACTTGTTGATTGTTTTGATTTTACATTTTTTGTACTTTACATACCTAGTCAATTAGGCATTTAGTTTTATTTAACAACTTGTTTTTCAAAACTATTTTTGAATTAAATATTAAATATTTATAAGTTGGAAATGTTTTGATACATTTGGAAGAAAAAATGTTTTTTAAAACAAGGTAATTGGTGTATAAAATTTTTCTATGACACTTCTATTATCAAGTCATATGTAACAAGCCTTTGAGCTTTAAAAATCCTTCGAGTTTAGGCTACAGTCATGTAAAAATATATATAATAATTTAAGGTTTTCTTATAATTATTGTACATTAGTCTATTACGGACTTCCTAAAGCGTTATTTTATATACTTATTAAATTTTAATCCGATTGTTAACAGATGGTGGTATCGTACCACGACGGGTCGCGGCTGCCGGCGTGGCAGGCGGCGGGCGTGGCGCTGACGGTGACGGCCACGCTGGAGGGCCGCGGCGGCGTGGTGGAGCCGCAGCGCCCCATGCTGCTGCCCGGGCAGGACGCCGTCTGGCATCTGAAGATAGACTTGTACAAGTTGCTCAGTGAGTTGTTCTATTTTCTTTGATATTGGACTTGGGTGGTGCTGTGGAAGGGAAGGGGTTTTACAAAAATGAGCACTTATGTTGTTATTACCATGTTAATTAATGTAATAGTGTCTTTTGTTATTATATCGCTTTTCTTAATGTGTGGGAAGCTCATGCTTTACGTGGTATGATTAAAAGGGATAAATAAGAGATGATATTTATCATTGTTAATGGTAATATTATTGAGTAAGATAATTAATTACTTGGTTTGTATTTTATAATAGTATGAATTACTTCAATTTTAGTGAGAAATTATTTTTATTAATAAATATTAATGTATAATTTAATTATACAAGTAGGTATGTACAAAATGCTATTTCCTATGATTATGATATATTTTATATGATTTTTTTTATGAAAATAATTTTCCAAACAAATAAATAATAAATACGCATAAACATTAATGAATATTATGTTGCATATAATGAGCAATTACATTTTGACTTTTTTTTGTTATTTAATTATTTGTTTTTTTTTTGTATCATGTGTTAGAAATAAAGTTTTTTTTTAAAACAGAATTAGAGAACACGTCGGACTACCGCGACACACTGAACGCAATAACGGGTATCCGGCTGAACGCGCAGCTGACGGACGCGCGCGGGTCGCGCGCCTCGGCGGACGTGCGGCTGGTGGCGCACCGCAGCCCCGGCCACCACCACATACGTGTGTCTACCACCACCACTGACGCTAGGGTTGGCATTCTGCTTTTTATATAATATTAATTATGTAGAACTAAAACTTTAAAGCTATGTATAAATTATTATCCCAACGACTTCAAAGTTTGTAAGTATGTAAAATCTATATGAAAACTTGCATCTTACTAGTGAAAGTGAAAGATTTTTTCAATTTTTATTTTTTTTATTATAGTCAAGACAAATCTGATTTGAACGTAATTTAATAGGTTCAATACGCAAAAGTATGAAGATCAATTGGATTTAATTTTTTATTTGTTTTTTTTTTATGTAATCAGGTTGGCGAGTACGCAATATTCCACGTTCAGAGTAATTTCTATATGGAGACATTCAATTGGATCGTCATGTCCAAAGGAATTATACTGACAAGTGGTCAAGAGATCATGCAGGTATGTTTTTGTTTATATGTATGTACACATTGATAACATGTGTTTCTTATGGTATAATATATAAATAAATAATGATTAATGAAGTACATATAATTGTTATGGTCACGATAACGCAAACGACTGACAAGGATTTCCGTTTACCAAGTAGAGGTTGAATCTGTTTTATTTCTATTGAGTCAAGTTTCGAAAAAAAGGGCAATATGGTCTTTTCTCATTTATATGTATAGTAATTCCGTCTTGCAAATAACCAATAGGGAATTTGCATGTAATTTAAATAAAAGTGATTTTTTTTGTAATCGTTATTGCTTTTGAACTAAGCCTATATTAATATTTTTTAATGTTAATTCTTTTTGATTAAGTAAATAATTATTAAAGTGGATAATTATTAAGTGGAAATTAGGTAGGGGAATTCAAAGTAGTCGAAACGCACGCCGTTGGTCAGGTCGAATGACGTCAGAGTATATAATAACAGAGCGATTAGCGATTTTGTCGCTAACAAATTGAGTCGTAATTTCTCTGTGTATATCATACTGCGACGTCACACGCGCGTGAAATTGCAAGCGTTAAATGTATCCGTAACGGTATTATATATTTTTTATAATTATATGACGATAAAAAAATAAAAACAAAAATTATGCTTATTCCCTATTAAATAGTTTATATTTGTATATGGTAACAGGAGGGCGTGCGCACATTCGCGGTGGGCGTGTCGGCGGAGATGGCGCCGGTGTGCACGCTGCTGGTGTGGGCGCACCGCCGCCGCGCGCTCGTGTTGGCCGACTCGCTCACCTTCCCCGTCAACGGCATCAATATTAATAATGTGAGTGTACCTGCTTTTGTTATTGGATATATGAACAGTTATACATGAAATTACAATAATGAATATCATAAAACTACTTAAAAGTTAACGGCATCCATACTATCAATGTAAGTGTATCACACTTTTTTGTTAGGTATATGGACAACTATACGTCATAAAATTAAAAATAATGGATATCATAAGACTATAATGTATATCATGAAAAGCTGGGCATAAATTAAATTTACATGGAAAATATAAAAATAATTGTTACGTTAATCTTATGTCACTATAGAAATTTAATTAGTAAGCCTTTAAAAATTAAAAAATAAACTATCATATCGCAAGCTATGTTATGATTTATTCAATAGCGTTGATATTTTACTTTAAATTAGAAAAAAAAACTTTTCTTTAAAAACTGAACTTAATCAAATTAAAAATATTGAGGTAAATAATTCAAAAATTTAGAAAATGTTGAAATATATAAAGTATAGGATATTTCATTAAATCTATTAAATTGTCTATAGTTCACCTTTGTCTACGTCAATTTCTTTCTATATTTTTTTTAAACTTGTTTGTGCAATAAACAATATAACATTGTGTGCCAGTTCACGGTGATAGTGAACAACCGCAAGCACCGCACGGGCGAGCGCGTGGAGGTGGCGGTGTACGGCGAGCCCGGCGCCTACGTGGGGCTCTCCGGCATCGACCACGCCTTCTACACCATGCAGGCCGGCAACGAGCTCAGCTACGCTAAGGTACCCGACTTCCCATCCCACTCTCGGTATTACCATAACACATTATTCATCTTTCGACGACACTTTTAGCTCAGTCTGTAGTGATCCTACTTGCTGTGCCAGCGGTCGTGGATTCGAGTCCCGCTGGGGGCATTCATTTGTGTGATGAGCATGAATGTTTGTACTCCAGTCGTGGTTGTTTATATTTATAATATGTATGTATTTAAAGTTATATATGTGTAGTGTATCAACTAGATGGTGCTGTGTGTTAATGTCCCAATATATTTATTTATATTTATCTTTCAATTTATGACATATATTGATCATTAGGATATACATAATAGTAATTTGTTAATTAATATTTTTGCTGTCTAAAAAAATATTTCTAAAATTATTACTTATTTTTTGATTAGATATTTGTATCAACTTTACTATTATAATTAATAAGGTACCGCAAGGTGACTAACTGATATTAAATACAAAACCCAGAGGGTTGTTTTCACCGTACACTCAGCCACTCGCTGAGTACCTGATTCACATTGCAATCAATATCTTGTGTGGACAATGATTATGATACAATGAAAATTTGCTAAAACTAAAATTAAATGTATTAATAAATTATCTTAGAAAATAATTCTAAAATAATAAATTCATTATTTAATTATCTACATAAATGTAATATAATGTAAAATTAATTTACGTAGGTGATATCAAAAATGTCGCACTTCGATGAGGCAACAAACGGCACATTCGCGTACACGTGGCGCTCGCACTTCGGAGACGCGGACGAGCTCGTGTACTTCCCCTCGCCGAGTTTTGGTATTGACGCCAATCGCACTTTTGAGTGAGTTTTTGTTAAATATTTATTGTTTGTTATTTAATCATGATAATGCATTGAGGTATCTGACTGCATCTCTTAGTGTTTAGTGTATGATTTAGTGCCCGACCAGAACTAGTTAGTACAATTAAACTACATTAAAGGCTCGGAATTTATAAATATATAGCTTTGAATGATTTATACAATAGGTTACTTTTTGATAATTTCATTTTTTTCTGTTTAATTGTGAACCATCAGAACTAATAATTCATCAGAATTAATAAATTGTTTTAAATAAGTAACAACATGTGATAAAAATAATTCTCATATAACAATTAAATGTAGTAACAATTTTTTTAGATCGTTTCTTATGATAGTTTACAATTGAATGTAATATAAATAAATAGGAGCCTATACACTCGACGGCTTCACGACGGCTATCGTCAGCGCATTTATAAGACGTATTGCGCATAGACCCTAAGTATGAATGTATGTTGTGATTGTAAAGAAACGCAAGGTTGACAGCCTAATAATAAGGGCGTATGTACATGACGAGTTCGTGGTGTGAATATTTTCATTTATTTTTATTATGAAGTATGAGAACAGAGAGGCCTTTGTCCAGCAGTGGGAAATTAATGATTGAATAAAAATATTCATGGTGCCCGTGCAGATACGCGGGTCTGATAGTGCTGAGCGACGTGTCGGTGTGGCGGCGCGCGTCCGCCTGCAACGCGTCGCTGGGGCTGGCCGAGTGCCTGGACGGCGCCTGCTACCCGCACGACCGGCGCTGCGACGGCGTGGCCGACTGCAACGACCGCACCGACGAGACCAACTGTACGTTCTTGTTTAGTTTTTAATTATGTTGCACTAGTGTCCTGAGTGGCCATTTTAAAATTTAATAGTTTTCTTGATCAATATTTTTATAGATTATCCAAATATTATAAAGTATAATGATTTGAAAGAAATCTTTTAGAGACTAGATGAGTCTAGATGTGAGAAAATGAGTTAATTCATTGCAGTCTAGGTACAGAGTATTAACAAATTTCATACGATTGTATACCACCAGGCCAGCACGACGATTCATTCGAGCTGGCGCACTTCCGCAAGTTCCGGTTCAACCGCATCCTGCGGCAGTACACCAACGTGTGGGCGTGGCGCGACGTCAACATCGGGCCGCACGGCCGCTACGTGTTCACGCTGCCCGTGCCGCCCGACCCCGCGCGCTGGACCATCTCCGCCTTTGCCATGTCGCCCGCCGGCCTCGGCATGCTCGCCAGGCCCATCAACGTGAGTGCGCGCACGCACACCCCGACACACCGACATACTGATATACCGACATACTGACACACCGACCACTGACATACCGACACATTGACCCACCGCACCGACACACCTATACGTTTAAACTTAAGCAATATATAAAGGTAGATTCAACCAGATAAGTCAAAAATTATAACGTGATTTTGCCGTTTACCTAAGTCAAAATTTTAGTTTTTGAAAAGAAAACATAAGTTTTAAAATGTATAAAAGTAAAAACAATAAACCTAATTAGTTTTTTCTTTATTATATTTTATCGAGAGATTTTATAAGTACCTGGTTATTCACACACATGCTCACAATTCAATTTCCGTATCTCAACACAAAAGTACACAAGTTCGTATACACAAACTGACATTTTAGTTCAACAACATTGTCTAATATATTCGTTTGGTCTGAGGGTGTCCTAAATTTGGTTGTACTATGATATTTAACGTATGTATGTATGTGTATAAGTCAAACACGTAACCCCATTTGAGCATCACCACTGTCGGTCATATATAAACATGTTTTTTTTTTATATTGTGGTTTTCATAATGCGCCAGCATTTAACTTTTGTTATTTTGCTAATGTAATAAATAACTAAGGATATACAACTTGAGACAAATTATTTCTACCACACGTTTAAGATTTTTATGACATCTTTCTTTTAAACAATATATCTCCATGCACCCAGTACGTGGGCATCCTGCCCTTCTTCATCAAGATCGAGGGCCCGGACCGGTGCCGCCAGGGCGAGCAGCTGGGCCTGCGCGTCGCCGTCTTCAACTACCAGGAGCAGGCCATCGAGGCCGTGGTGGTGCTCGCCTCCTCGCCCGACTATAAGTTCGTGCACGTCGAGGAGAACGGCATTGTGAGTTGTATCTGTTTCGTTTGTTTTAGGGAATTTAGAAAGTTTTGCTAATGAATGTTTTTATTTACACACTTAATATTTCGTATTTTACATACTTATAATAATTATTATTATAGTGTTTCTTTGTGTTATATTTTTTTTATTTAAAAATTTAATTGTAATATGATATGATTTTATGTTTATAAATTAATTATATTATTTATATATAAGTCTTATGATAGGGGAAAATCAACATATGTAAAAATCGATAGATTATTAAATTGCACACTTTTCAGGATGTAATTAGCCCACCATACCTAAATCTGACGGTTTTTAGTATTTCTACCTTATCAAAATATTTTTCAAATATTTTAATCGGCTGCCCCAGACGCGCGCCCTTATATAGAGGACTTATATTATGGTGGAGATACTCAACAGAGTGCACGGTATCCCCCCTTATGTTAAACTGCCGCGCTTGAGTATCTGCAAAAATCCCCCCGTGGGTTCCCCTACTTATTATCTTAGTTCAAAAAAAAAATATTTAGGCTTTATTTGCACATAACTAAAAATATCTACTGTTTTTGTTAGTGAAGGAAAAAAAACATTATTATCTCTTCTTTTACACGAATCCCAATAAGATAGTTGGTTACATATTATGTACATGTATAATGTATTCACCATACATCTGTATACGTAGGTGCGGTCGTACAACCCGCGCACGTCGTACGGCGAGCACCAGTTCTTCGTGTACATCCTGGCGGGCGACGCGGCCTTGGTGCACCTGCCCGTGGTGCCGGCGCGCCTGGGCCGCGTGCGCGTGGACGTGCGCGCCGCCGCGCTGCAGGGCGAGCACCGCGCCCACAAGTATATAGAAGTAGAGGTGAGCTGATGGTTTTTCCTTTTAGAATTCTGTACCTCATAAGGAAAAAGGAAGCCTTATAGGATCACTTCGTTGTGCGTCTGTCTGTCTGTTTGTCTGTCAGTCTGTCAAGACCCTTTTTCTCAAGAACGCGTAGAGGTATTATGTTGAAATTGATGTCAAATAAACATTTGTTTAATCTTTTCATTTCTTACCTTTGAATTCGTTTTTTTTAATAATATAGTGCTAAATATTCTTAAACGATTTCAATATTAAAATATATATAATAAATCATGTTATTTACATATTACATAATGTATATATATTTGTGTGTATTGTCCGCAGGCCGACGGCATCCCGCAGTACCGCCACCAGTCCGTGCTGCTGGACCTGTCCAACCGCGCGTACGTGTTCCAGTACATGCACGTCAACGTCACCGAGACCCCCATCATCCCCTACGAGGTGGACCGCTACTACGTGTTCGGCTCCAACAAGGCGCGCATCTCCATAGTGGGGGACGTAGTCGGACCGCTCTTCCCCACCATGCCTGTTAATGCTACCAGCCTCCTCGATTTGCCAATGGTAGGTTGATTCACTTTATTTAATAATTTAAACTTTAATTTTGTTGTAATTCTTTTGTTTTATTTTTGTTGATAATGTCTTTAAATATAATGATGAAAATGAGAGTGGACACTGCATTATTGCTTATAATAAAAATGTTAACATTTATTTTAATTTTGTTAAGTAAAACAAATGAACAGACAATTTTAAATGTTACTGAGTTTTAATAGCACTTTTACTAAATAGGCATCTGGTACAATAACTTTATACCTCAGTTTAAATAAAATTATTCTTCACATTTTAAATATGTACTTGTATAACCTGTTCATAAAAACAGACAATTAGAATTATTTAATAACTAATAAAGATATTGCGTAATATATACAATAAATAAAATATACAGCTGAAATATGTACCATCTCCTATTTTAAGGTTGGCTAATAAATTATATGAATAACAACATGTACATTTGTTGACGACTCGATTGACTCAGTTTGTAGTGACCCTACTTGCTGTGCCAGCGGTCGCTGGTTCGAGTCCCGCTGTGGGCATACATTTGTATGATGAGCCTGAATGTTTGTACTCCAGTCATGGGTGTTTATATTTAATATATAGGTTTTAAAGTTATATAATATGTGTAGTGTATAAACACTCCACACGTTATATCCATAACACAATCCTCGTAGCTTACTATGGAACTAGATTCTGTGTGTTAATATCCTAACTTGTTTAACATATTTATTCATTTGTCAGGACTCGGCCGAGCAGAACATGTTCAGCTTCGCGGCGAACATGTACCTGACGCTGTACATGCGCCTCATCAACCAGCGCAACCGCACGCTCGAGCGCGACGCCTTCTACCACATGAACATATACTACCAGCGGCAGCTCTCCTTCATGAAGCACGACGGCTCCTTCAGCTTGTTCCGAAGCGATTGGTATGATATATTGTAATTTACATAAGTGATTTATTGATATAGGTGTCGATTTTACTTAGTTTTAACTGTTGTGTAGATTTGAACCTTTAGAAGTATGGCAGTTCAATTAATTGATATTTTTGAGCTGTTTTGAATGTAAAGTTGGAGCTTACAAGTGGACGTTAGAATAATTCAACGGTTACTTGTTATATACCTTTGGCTTTGGATTCGTTTGATATGTTTCAATAAATTAAAGCACATTACATGCCGGTCTAAAGCTTATTTCCTTTTTTTAATTGACTTTCAATTGGATACTACTAATTATTAAAAGACAAAATGTTCTCTGTACAGGAACCAATCAGAATCAAGCGTGTGGCTGACGTCATTCTGCGCTAAAATATTCCAGGAAGCTTCATTCAATGAATGGGAGAATTTCATCTATATTGATCCTGATGTATGTATATATGATTCTTTTATATTTCTTTTGTATTTTAAAATACTAATTGAAAGTAGGACTTCTATTAAAATATTTAGTTAGTAAATTTTCAACTTAATATTGTTCACTCTAATATTACATATTTTTTAATGTTATTTGAGACTAGCGCTTCGCTTCGCTCGGGTTCCTCTTTATGTATAATATATATTTTTACAATAATGTATTGAAGTCTGCTCGATTTGTTGACATTTATGATTACTGCTCCGCTCCCTTGGTTAGTAGCATGATGATATATAGCCTATAGCCTTCCTCAATAAACGGGCTATCTAATGCAAAAAGAATTCTTCAAATCGGATTAGTAGTTCCTGAGTTTAGCCCGCTCAAACAAACAAACTCTGCCTCTTTATAATATTAGTATGGAATATAGATGATGATGAATACAATTATTAATATTTGTTTTTTCACACTGTTATATGCATGTTTGGTTTGAGTGAAATTTTGTCTTATATTAGACATTAGTACATAAGATTACTTTATATAACTTAGAACGTTATATAAAGCTCGCGGTGCTCATATACAGTTTTGATATAAATAAAATTAATGGTTAAAAATACAAAAACATCAATAGGTTAGAAAATCATTGTATTATATAGATATATACTAAAGCTGTTTGTTTGTGTGCAGGTGATATCGATGGCGGTGTCGTGGGTGCTGGAGCACCAGACGCCGGAGGGCGCGTTCTACGAGCGCACGTGGCTGCCCGACCGCAACGCCAACAGCACCATCGCCGTGCCCATGGACTCGCAGCTCTACCGCGACGCCGGCGCGCAGCTGCACGGGCGACAGGTCACTTCATATACTTATACTAACTAGAGCTCGACGACCATGATCATTATCGATTTTTCTTAAAAAGGGATACAAAGTTTTTGTTTCATGTATTCATTATTTTATGTGTGTTATTTATTAACAGTTATGTGTTATTTATTAACAGGTTTATTACAGGCATTATATATGTTCACAGGTTAACAACTCTATAATACTGCAACGAAACATCACACTGACTGCGCAAGTCGTTATTACACTGGAGACTGTGAAGAATCTCAAAGATATTGGCATAAGAGAGGTGAGCAGTGTAGTTAGTAGTATTATTGAAATTTGTAATTAAGTAAAATTATTGAAAACAATACAGTTTTTATTTTGTTGATCATTTTATCAAATATAAATTGTTTTTTTTTATGTATTAGTAATATTTTTTTTTACTATTTATCGTACATACATCTATAAATAAAAATAAATAGCTTAATGTGTATATATATATGCAATAATAATAAAAAGATAATTAGCTTAATGTGTTTGCTAAGCGCGAAACGAAAACAGCTAGTTATTTTTTTTATTCAAATATTCGCTTAAGTCCAAAGAAGGTTCTTATGAAGAGAAAAATTAGAAAAAAATGCTCGGAAAAACGTAAAACACCATTTGTCTAATCGGATCTGGTAGCTACTACACACTTGATTCGACAGAACGAGATAAGTCGCTAGCATGAGGAATATAGACAAAGGAGTCCATTCTTCATAAGGTTTCATACGAAAAATCCGGCCGTAAGAATTTTTAGAGCTATAGTTCCAAAAACTACCACGAACTTAGTGACAGACGTGATAAACAAATCAGTGTGAATTCCCCCCTTCCTCTTAGGACACAGCGACCGCAGCACAACCACTATTACTTTTTAAAATTTCTGGGACAACTTTGACATAGAGTTTAGGCTCCTTGTAGGAGTCAAAACAATTTTTTTCAGCTTCATTGAGATGTTTGACTTTAATTAAATTTCTTCCAGACTCAAAAATTTATTCCAGGCCATATTTACACATCTCATTAACTCATCTTAGTGTCTAGACTATTTAAATAACACTTATTTACCTAAATATGTGTGTGTAGTCTTGGACATATTCTAGTAACACACTGTTAATGTTTATTGGTGCCTTTATGCTGTTTGATATAATTTTTTATTAACCTCTGTTTACATATTTAAGATATTTTTGTAAATATTGCCTGAAACAAATTATTAAATAAAATAAATTTAGTTCCTGGACGCTAGTATGTTTGCTTCACTACCGTTGTGGTATATGACAGTGATTGATGTGTGTGTGTGCGCAGGGGCTGAGCGCGCGCGTGGCGACGGCGCAGCAGCGCGCGGTGGAGTGGCTGGAGCGGCACCTGCAGCTGCTGCACGAGTGCGGCGAGCCGCTGGCGCTGGCGCTGGCCGCGTGCGCGCTGGCCGCCGCCAAGGCGCCCGGCGCCGAGCACGCGTACCGCCTGCTCAAGCGCCACCAGCGCACTGAGGGTTGGACACATTCTTTTTTTTTTAATGAAAAATTTCCGTTGGCCTTTATCTACACAGCATCACCGCAGGAGTTTATGGCTTATCCTACAAATCGCTGTTATCGAACGTGTGTACACAATATGATGTTATAGAAAATAATGATGGAATCGCCTTCAGAATATTTCTATGTTGAAGAATTAGTGTAATTTGTAATTTTACTTATAAAAAAAAGATAAAAAGTCAGTTTTAATTGTGCTGGGTTTCTTTTGCCAGTTCACAGGGTTTAAGCTTTTTATTTTAAACTGGTGGTAATTATATGACGCTATAAAAAATAAAATGAATTGAATGCTGAATAATTTAAAAAAAAAAGAATCGAGTTTATCCTCCTTTTTGAAATCAACAATTAATAAATATTTACATTCAAGTTATTTAATATTTCAGAGTCTTATCATATTGAATTAATTTATTAAAACGTATTCTATCGACCACCAGGCGGGCTGATGTACTGGGGCAAGGAGCCGGTGCCGCAGCCGCCGTACAAGATGGAGAACCAGAAGCCGTTCCTGCTGCCGCGGCTGCCATACACGTATGACTCCAACAACATCGCCGCCACCGCCTACGCGCTGCTCGCCTGCATGGACCATCAGGTGACCATACCGATCAAAACTTTCATATGATAATATATAAATATGTTGGACATTAACACACAACACCATCTAGTTCCATGGTAAGCTATGAGGCTTGTGTTATGGATACCAGATAGTTGATACACTACACACATATGTATATAACTTTAACCTATACATATTATAAACATAAACACCCATGACTGGAGTACAAACATTAGTGCTCATCACTCAAATGAATGCCCCTAGCGGGACTCGAACCCGTGACTGCTGGCACAGCAAGTCACTAAAAACTGAAATCTCGTCTGTCGTCTTATACGAGTATATATGATGTGTCTTATATAACTAAATTTACTCTAGTTGACCTATTTATTATCAAGCTATTCTAGTTATTTTCGTTTGCTATTAGTGTTCTCATAGTATTTGAAGCAAGACTTAATGGTCTATTTTATATTGTCATTTTATTAATTATTTTCGTAACAAAATATTAACTAAGCGCAGACACAAATATTGTATTTTATTTATTTAAAAAATGGTAGATTTCGATAATTTAATTTTTTACGAAAAAAGCCTTTCTTATACATACATACACATTATACACACACATGCACAAACCCGTGGTCTGTTAAATGTCTTTTATTTTAACGAAATAACATACGCTTCGAATTCATAACATATAAATTTTTATTTTAGTGAGATATCTGCCTAAAATATTAATAGTAAATTTAATTTTTTATATTACAAATTTCATCAAAATTTTATGTTTTCTGCCTAAGTGTAAAAGTTTTCTTTTAATCCTATTTTTCTTTTAATAGTGTTAAATTTGAGTCTTAAAATAATGAAATGTTGTATTTGTTCTTAGGATAACAACGAGCCGATTGTCATGTGGCTTAACTCTCAACGTCTTAAAGATGGCGGCTGGGCGTCTACTCAGGTAATTAATAATTAGATCATTTATCGTAAAAAAATACAACAGACAATTATATAATTAGATCATGAGACTTAAAAATATTTGATAATAATTTTCAATTTTTCTGTTTAATTCTAAAAATTTCCCAAGTGTATAAAAAAATATTATATACGAACATAAAAATAGAAACAATTTTTTTTGAATATCCGATGTTGTTTCTACCCAGGACACGTACATAGCTCTGCGCGCGCTGATCGAGTACACGAACCGCAAGCGGCTGCGCGACGTGAGCTCGCTGCACGTGAGCGTGGAGGCCGTGGCGCTGCGCGGCGGCGCGCGCTCCCTACGCGTGCGCAACGACAACCTCGCCACCATGCAGACCATCGACGTGAGCACCCACTACATTATAATAAACTAGCGAGTAGCGACTCACCCTCGCTCCGCTTACGTTTTCATGTTTGGTATACATTTCTCAGAGATGAGATATTTTTCCGCAGTAAAAGTATCGTATATGTAAACTTGGTATTCTTCAATACAATTAATTCTATACATGTTTTAGCATTTTTCGAAATTCATCCCATAAGGGGGGTAAAATAGGGGATGAAAGTTTGTATGAAACCTACGTGTTTTTTGTAGTTTTAGCGCGAACAAAGCCGCGGGTTCTGCTAGTAATGTATAATGCAACGTATGCCACTGCAGATCCCGGAGGCGTGGGGCACGGTGAAGGTGACGGCGCGCGGCGCGGGCTACGCCGTGCTGCAGATGTCGGTGCAGTACAACGTGGACACGCCGCGCTTCCAGACCGCGCCGCCGCTGCGCGCCTTCGACTTGCTCGCCAACGCGCACTACTACGGCCGCAATCAGTCGCACATTCGATACCAGACCTGCGCCAGGTACCGACCGACACACACACGTATATTATATCTACAGACTTATCTAGGATGTACAACGCATACTATAGACTATATATTAGGTAATTCATTTCCTCCAAAAAAAAAATTCTCGGTGCTCGAGCAAAATCTATAAAAATAAATATAGAAAAAAAGATTTTCACCAAGTTTGAGCTGTTAATATCAATTTTAAGTACTTACTATTTAAATTTGAAGTTTTCCCATATAAATTGCATATGCAAAAAAAATTTCAATTCAAATTTCTAATGCTTAGCCACCTTTCACAACATTGTGAATCGGTTTGATGGACCTTATGGGGAATTTCACGGTCTTCGAAATTGCTCTAATGGTTTTTTATGTAACTCACACTGGTTCGCCAGTAGGAGTCATCAAAGTTCAGTTTTTTGAATGAATAGTCCTTTTTCAATTTTTTCGAGCAAACCGCAAAAAGTAGGGAGAAAAAAGGACTGACCTGTAAAAAATAGTGCTCTGACCAATATTTAATGAATTTACAGCCATTTTTATACCTCAAAACGTAAGAAATAAAATTTAGAGCTCCTGGCGCTATGCGCCATGCTCGTTGGCTATCAAAAGCTCTATACAATTTAAAAATATAGATGCTTAGAAAATGTCTATAAATTATTTATTTCTTACGTTACGACTGTCATACTCACTTTTGTAGGTCAGTTAGGAGACGGCTTTAAAATAGAAGAGTGTAACTGTAACTTGCCACTATATGGCACCAGAGTGCCTTAACTTCGAAACTATTAAAATTGAATATTTGCATTACAATGCTAGTGAATCCATTTTTTAACACTTCTATTAAAATTATTCATATATTTTAAAATAAAATCTATCTTTTCGGATGTTTCGAATAAACCAAAAATGGATATAAATAAATTTTAGAATGTCAAATATTCGATATAGATCTAAAGAAGTATGTAATACTATTCATACATGTAAAGAGTTGTTCATTACTACAAATAAAGTTCCAACATCACAAACAAATGTCACCGAATATAATATCAAACTGATCCATTCCAGCTGGACGTTGACTCAAGAGTCGCCGCGCTCCGGCATGGCGGTGCTGGAGGTGAGCATCCCCACCGGCTACATGATCCAGCAGCAGCGCCTCGACTCGTACGTGCTGTCGCGCTCCGTGCACCTGCTGCAACGCGCGCGCTACACGCCGGAGAAAGTCGTCTTCTATTTTGATTATGTAAGTAAATAAATAAGTTGAGACATTAACACACAGCACCATCTAGTCCCATGATAAGCTACGAGGCTTGTGTTATGGATACCAGATTGTCGATACACTACACATATATATGTAACTTCAAATACATATTATAAATATAAACACCAATGACTGGAGTACAAACTCGTGCTCATCACACAAATGAATGCCCCAGCTTACTCAAACCCGTGACCGCTGGCATAGCAAGGAGGGTTATTAAAAACTGAGCCAAACGTGTCGTAAGTGTTTTTGAATTTGGAATTTCGATTGTTTTTTTTTTAGTTTGCGTGTTCGTAGGCACAGATACATAATATGGATATACCGGTGAAAGTTATGTTCTATTTTGATTTTATTTATTTGGGGTATCTATTTACGCGTTTTTTTATACATTTTGTAAGCGAAGGTATATTGGTTATAAGGTTTTTTTGGTCATGTTTCTGTAAACAATGTTTATTTTTATATTTTAAGAATCTTTTAATGTATGCAGTTGCTGAATATAAATAAATTCACTAGAATTTCCAAATTTTGACTTAATTAGTTTTCCTTAAAGGTTTATAATTTTCATATTTACATAATGTAATAATTATATTAAGCAGTACACACATTATTTTAGTAATGTTATAAAAAAACACATTTTGCAATCTTCTATAACATAAAAATGAATCGCTGATTGTTTGTAAGTAAGCGCAAATCTCGAGAGCAGCTGAACCGATTTCGCTAATTCTTTTTTTAGAATATTCCTTGAAGTACGAGGATGGTTCTTACGGAGAGAAAAATTTAAAAAATTGCCTGAAAAAGTCTAAAAACAGACACTTTTTTCTACTCCCATACAAAAGATTCGTAATAATACTTAAAGTCAATTTGAACTTTAATACCATACCATAAACTTTAAGTGTTAGTGGAGAGGTTCCGGGAAGGCAAAACAATTGAGTGACGTTCGTATCGTATAAATATTAATGTCAATATTTGTCAATATTCTTAACAAAAAAAAATTAAAATGTGTATGGCTAAAGCTGGCTAATAACTATTTATATCTATTTAAAACGTACCTAGCGACCAAACCCGAGCGAAGCGAGCTGGGTGAGCCGCTAGTAGATTATACATTTATATATTTCCAGCTGGATCACGAAACGACGTGTGTGAACTTCACGATCGAGCGCTGGTACCCCGTCGCCAACATGTCGCGCTACCTGCCCATACGTGTCTACGATTATTACGCGCCCGGTTAGTTATCAGAACAATATTATTATTTTTTTAATTTCAATAAGGCCTATCTTTTATCTCGCACTAAGAAAATTGTATTATTAATGATAATATATATTTTTATTATATAATTATAGATAAATTTCTTCATGACTTATTAACTGTAGTACAAAAAAAATAATGCTGCCTTTCTATTTTGAAATACAAATACAATTAAATCGACATCTACAATAAATCCTGTATAAACACACAATCAATCAATCCACAGAGATATTTAAAACATAAATGAAACTATCTATGCTACTTCACGTAGCAGTTATCCAATAACATGTAAAGTGCACGATCCCGCATTTAGCCAACTTCTTATTTTAGGCCATTGCCTTACTAACAGCTGTAAGACCGGATCCCAATAACCTATATGTATTTTTTTCCAATTAGCGATATTAATTTTACATTAATTGTATGAAGTTTACGTCAAATTTCTATCTCCAAGGAAAACTTCATACATATAATATATCATTCAAAACTCGCCCTAAAAATGAATAAAAATTATTATTATTATTATCAACAGAGCGTTTCAACGAGAGCATATTCGACGCCTTGCCAACGTACTTACTGAACATCTGCGAAGTGTGCGGCTCCTCGCAGTGCCCGTACTGCGCCATCTACAACGGCGCCGCGCGCCTCACCGCGCTGTTGCTGGTGCCCACTCTGATTGCGATTGTATACAATATACTATATAACACGTAGTAGATGGTGTATTAAATTAGTAAGGTTTTTGATATTATGTATTACCTAGGCGATAGGTGTTTTATGTAATTGATTTTTGTAAGCCTGTTATAATTATAAATCTTTGTTGTACAGAACAGATTTATTTTTATGTGGATTGAGATTTATTATATATATATATATATATATATATATATATATATATATATATATATATAAAATCAATTCTTAGTCTTGGTTTATTCAGAATTTTGAGTACATCATGACAAATTAAATCAGTAAAAATATTAAAAATTTATAAGTTCAGCATTTGTTATTTTTTAAAATTACTTTTTTAAGTCGCCTAGAAAATACAATACAACACAAGGATTAAATGTAAAATCTAAAACTTCGTAGTTTTTGACAGCCAAATCTTTTAAAAATTATAAAAAAGTGTTTTGATTGTATTGTATTTATGCATCATTACATGATTGACAATTAACTTACTTTTTTATAACGTGATATTACATTTTTAATTAAAAATTTAAAATGTACGGTATTCGCTGTCGCATTACGCATATGACCGATCGATTAACAATTATGGTTTTCAATAAAAACTGTTAAATTACCACAAACCTCGAACTGGCTGCAACCACCGTATAGTAGGTACATATATAGTATTATATTTCTTATTTACTTTAAAATGAAATCTCTTTTGTCGTAATCATTTTGATACTTATTCTTATCTCATCCGCCTTCTGAATCTCGTGCTGACTTATTTTCTACGGATTAGTTTCTAGAAAACTTTGTCTGGTAATATTAGTTATATGTTGTTCTAAAGTAGGTTTAAATATGCGAAAAACTCAACTCAATATTTTCTTTTCTTTTGTTTATACTAATTTTTACACTTTGAACGTATTCCTTTATCCATTCCAATGTAGTTAGTAGTATTATGGAGTGTTCACTTAGGTTATAACTTTTGTACAGAATGTACAAACGCTAAAGCCAATGTATAGAAGCGAATATTTGCCTGTTTTCTAGACTAAGACATAAATAAAAGACGGACAATTATTATTAATTGGCGAGATTATTTTTACTTATATATTGTAAAATCTACAATTGTATTGTATATTTTTACTCAAATATATATATGGATGTAAATATTTATAAGTGATATTAAGGTGTGACTTCAATTTACTATCAAATTATACAATTATTTTTATATTTTTACATAATAAATATCAATTCGTATTAAACATATAAATCCAGTGAGTATTATAAAACGAATGAATCTTAAAATGGCTTAACCCTACCCTTTGGCAGCTTTTATATATTTAAATAAAACTTAGCAATAGAATTTTGTATAAAACTTGTCGTACTACTCATCTTTTGTCTATCAACTTATTTTTCTGGTGCTTATAACATTTTTACTTTCTAATCGTCTATTTAAAAATACAGTATCTTCCATTAGAGAAGCAAATATATTAAATAGCTGCATTAAATGCTTCCTTGCCGCAAACGTTATTATCATGAAATAAGGTAAAATGCAATCCAGTATGTATATATATATATATATGTATATATATATATATATATATATGTATATATATATATATATATATATATATATATTATTAGACTGAAAAGGTATTGTCTTATTAGTTTTTTGAAATAAGAAATTGTCAATGAAATTTATCAATTTTATATCAATATTATTTTATAATAGGTATTATTAAAATACATGCAATAGATATTTTATCAATGAAATCAATAATTGTAATGCCTTATTGGTCAAAGACAATATATTAATGAAATTAAAAATTATATCAAATCAAATATTATCAAAAAAAAATATCATATATTTTATATACAATAAAGTATTCTTTTTAAATGTAGATTGATTAGTAGATTAATTATATAAAAATATGTATTTGAGCCATATGTATTTATTACTTTTTACATTGTATTTAAAAATAATTTGGCCTTTTATAATGTTTATGTACAAAATTACCGTCCAAATATATTGAAAATTATTTAAAGCTGTATTAAAAAATATTCATTGTAAGTTACTTAATTAGTTTCCGTCCAAATTAACCAATGACTGATTTTTTTTTACTTTTGTATCTATATATTATTACTATGTACTTGTGTGTAATATTGTCTCAGTTGTTACACAACTTAAGTAATGCTAGCATAAGAGTGATGAAATAATTTGATTGTTTATAATTTAATTTCAGAATAAAAATTTAATAAACTTTTTGGATTTGTTTTTTATAACCTTCGAATGATCCTATATTAATGCTTATTCGTTATTAATAAATACCGACGAGAGAAACAGTCAGCGCGGATGTCGTTTCGTGTGCTTACAGTTCATACTTGCTAGCGCGCGCTCTGTAGCTTATGTATACTCTAAGCAAATCATTAAGGTAAAAGTGCCAGTGAATATGCACTATGATTCCTTGATAACTGTTTTTTTAATAATCAGTATAAATAGGCCAAGATTGTATTATTTTCTTTTTGTTCAAAAAAAAATTAAAACTATAATACATTTTGATATATTTCTTAACTTTTTTAGTTACTTTTAATTTTTACTAATTCAATACCTAACAAATCAATACATATAATGCCACCTATTGAAATTTATTTGAATTAATTATTCTTTGTTCCTGATAACTGATAAGACCCCACAGCAAATAAACATGCGAGATGTAATTAAGCCTAAATATAGGGGTAATTAAAGGACATAAGTAATTATCAAAATTACAATTAAATTTAGGTGAAATATAATTATGTGATGTTTGTACATCACATAATTATATTATCATATATTAACATTGCTTCCTTATAAATTAATCAGAAGTTATATAAGATTGGTTATATATATTATTGATTTTAGTTATATAACACATTAGAATTTTTATAATTTTGAATTAAAGTACATATGATATTGTACACACTAAAATAATAATAGTATTCATTAAATAAAACAACTTTTTTCATCTATTCATTCTATTTAAATATATGTATTAACTAGAACTTCAACTTATGTCTATTGCCTCTTCTTCACTTGCTTTGTTTTAGCATTAGCTTTAGCCGCAGCCCCCCCACTGAAGAGTGATGTAAACATTTCAGAGACCTCTGGTAATTCAGACATCTTAGCCATGTTGCTAATCTGTTTTAAATCTTCTTTTGTTTCTGGATCATTCATCATTTTAGGCAAAATCATAATGAGCAGTAATGGTAATACCATCATGATTACCATGGGATTGAACAGGAAATCAGTCATTCGCCATTGCTCACGAACTTGGAAGTATCTATATTTTCCTGAGGCCTTAATTCTTAAGGGATAAGGAACTTGAATGACTTGTGAAGTCTGTATATAATTTACTTTACGAGCTCTATACTTTCCTTTAGAATTAATTTCGACACGAACTGTCTCATACATATAATCAGGATGTACGATTTCAACGACATACGAGCCCGTGGGTACGTTATGTATAGCGAATGATCCATCTTGTTTTACAAAACCAATATATTCGCCTCCGTTCACATGAATCTGGGTATCTACTTGCCAATTTGATACTGAAAAATCTTGGTCATCTAGTGGAAACACTCGTCCTTCAATAACATATCTACCGTTCCCCACATCTTCTTCGATAGAACTTACTGCACAGAAAACACTGGCAAATAGGCACGCTATTAGTGTAAGTAACAAGTTGAATGGATACATTTTTAATGAATTATTCGTATTTCGCAGATTACAATAGTATAAATAACACAAACTTCTTTTCCATTTAACAAAAAACTAATTTGCTTTAGGGTAGGAAACTGTAAGGTTTATTTATTCATCAGTCATCTAATAATCAAAGTGACAGCAGACAAACATCACAAATTACAGATTATCATCATTCATCATAAAGTATATTGCTACATATATAAATCATTCATCATTTCATTCTTTCCAGAGACTAGATCACAGACTATGAAATCAGATAACTCGGACCATAGACATCATGAATGTTTAAAGTTATTCATTTACGGTTGAAAGTAATAAGAAGATAAAATTACAAATTTTTCAAATTACTTTATCACTGTATATAAAAAACAAAGTTCGCACGCCGCATCTGTCTGTCTGAACGCGAACTCAAAATACCAAGGCTAAGCGGAGTTTTATACGGTATTCACCAATGGTTTGGTGTATTATTGATTAAGGTTTTGTATAAATTGACTGAAATTTAACGACTATTGTAGAAGATATCGGAAAAAATCATGCCGACTGTGAAACTTTACTGGCTTACGCCGCGAAATCAATAGAATTACCTATATGACAACAATGTATTACGGAATTATCATTTACTAGCGTTTGACCCTCGCTTCGCTCGGGTTTATATAAATAATAAAAATGAAATACTTGTTGAATTTTAATTATTCTGATTTTATTTAATAATCTTTGAAGATAAGAGATGAAGTGGTCATTGACAAATCCTTATGTGCCGTTCTTAATAATAATCGACTTTTAAAAGCTTATCAAATCTTGTATCTTTTTCTACTAAATAGGGTGCATTTACATCATATTTTTCCTGGATAGTTACTAATTTCATTAATCTAAATGACTATATTTTAGCGGTCACACTTCAACGGTCTTTTACCGTAGTAAATAATTCCAGCTTTGAATAAAAAAAGTAAATATCGCCATCTGTGAACGCACTTCAAACTTACCTTGGCAGATTTTTTCAATAATCAATAAAAATACGCACATTTGATTTACGAGGGTATTTTATTTTGCTTTCTCAGTTAATTTTTAAAATAATAATATCCATTTTACGATTTATTTTGTTCTTCCATTTAATTTTCATATGCTTGTATAAGAAATCGATACATATAACAACATAATGTATTGACATTTATTTGAACTAATTTATCTTTGTTGAGAAATTTATCTTTATATTCCTTGTTAACGGATATATAAAGTTATTTATAATAATTTACATTGTTTTTACTTTTATTTTCGTTTTTTAATGTATAAGAAAATTTACATTTCCTTTTTATTTGAGGCAGCGCTGTGAGCTGTCCCGCGCTGAGCAACAAGTTGGTAGCACTACATTTTCCTTATCTTCATCTTGTATAAAGAAAAAACGTCCGAGTTTATTTTATTATCGACAGAACGATTATGTTCGTTGGTCAGTTACATTTGTACATGTAAATACTTTAAAATTTCATAAGTATTATTAAACGATGTTGCGATATTTTATCGCTGTTATATGTTTTGGCGCGATTTTCGGTAATGGCATGTGGGTGGTGAAACCTGGACCCAAGTATCCACCAACGAAAGGCGAAGTCTGGCCAAAACCACAATATGAAACTAAGAGAAACACTTATCATATTTTCAACCCTTCAAATTTTAAAGTTAAGGTAAGCGTGCGAAACCATCTTGTCATTGTTTTGGCAAAATTATCGATTTTTTGTTTTTCATATAAAGTAGGTTAATTTATCATTGAAACTTTAAGTAGATGCACATTTTATTTGTAGTTTTTAAACATAAAAGAATAATTTATCACTTACAAGTTTTATTTGTTAAGTACTTGAAATATTGACGAATGAAAAGAAATACTTTTTATTCTTACATTCTTCCACTAACAATAAGTAATAATAAAAAATAAAACTATTCATAACCCAGATTACATTTATTAGTATATTGGATTTGATATTGAAGCATCAATATATTTTCGAACAAAAAAATACGTTTTAAAAAGACGTACATACATACGTATGTCCGAAACTATTCCATAGATATGTACCTAACTATATTATCACATTATTGAGACAGCGGTTGGACAAATTTTGGAGATTTTTTTTTAGCTTGCCATCAGATTACAAATTAAAATAAATTTTATAAAAAAAAACAAAATCTGACATTATATACTTTAAGATAACCGCCAAATAACTTGAGTTCATGGCGGAGAGTTGGCGCATCGATACTTTTCGTTATTTCTTTCCGCAAAAGGGTACTTAAAATTGATTATTATTGAAAGTTTTGTTTGAAAGGAGTGGCGTACGGTAAATGTCTGTCTGTATGTATGTATGTATGTATATATATATATATATATATACATCTACCACTATCTATTTGTGATATATTTGCAAATGTCAGAGGCCGGGGATACCCAGTAACTGCTCTACTACCTCCGACATTCTCATCAGCCATTTTCAACATGGTTACTAGTAAGTTGAAAATGACAATGAAAATTTACATGTCTGAGAGAACTTAGAAAGCTTTCAAAAGACAGTTTAGTATTGTTATATTTTAATTTTTAGGTAATAAATCAGACTTGTGATATTTTAACCAATGCTGTTGAACGTTATTCGTATGTTATGAGGTATAAAAATGGCTTAAGATTCCACGAAAGAAAGATACACAAGCGCAGAAGACGTATAGCAAACGATGCCCTGTACAGAGGAACGCTGAATGAATTTGAAATTGACCTCACTGCCCCTTGCGAAGACTATCCTTCCTTGGATATGAATGAGCAATGTAAGTATACCAATCTTGGATATAAAGACTAGATATGTAGGTTCATTTATGCGAAAATATGTTTGTTTTGTTTATCTTTGTTTCACGCAGCAAAGGTAAAGACGTAATTTTTTGGAACCCGATCATCGATCAAAAAAGTAGGTACTATATCTATACTTATTATAAAAATAAGTCCCCCGGCCGCGTCTTTCTGTCCTCCTGTCTGTCTGTACGCGATAAACTCGAAAACTACTGAACGGATTTTTATACGGTTTTCAACAATAGAAAGAGTAATTCTTGAGGAAGGTTTAGGTATATAATTTATTATGCTTTTATGTAAATTAGCTGAAATACGGCGACAAATGTTGAAGAGGTCGCAAAAAATCTCGCCAAATGGGAACTTTCCACGCGAACGCCGCGTAAACTAGCAAAGATACAGTTAAGTAATGTACTAGAGAATTCAAAATCTATAAAAATGCTACAAAAAAGTCCGCGATAGCATATCTCTATCTCTTACGGTTGACTTACAATAACCACTTTTATGTTAACATTTTTAATTAAAAACATTACGTTATTTTCAAAGTTATTTTCTTTAGTTCGGTATTAATCCTTATCCAAATGAATATTTTAGTTAGCTTAGTCTTTTAATGCAGATTAAAATTGCTCTTTACACTAAATCAATCAGATGAATAGTTTTTGAGATATCGTTGTTAGAAGTAATTAGTAGCGAAACATTTTTAATGCTTGGCGAGCATTGAGATGCCTACGGCGAGTCCATCCCCTCTGCCCCGCATCGCTCGACCGCCTGCTCAAGCTATATAAACCGGGCGATGTAGCGCGCGATCCTAGGATACTTTTTACCGCGGGAAAATATCTTATTTCTGAGGAAAAATACAAAAACTGCAATGTAAGAGTATACTAATATGTAACACCTAAGAATTTAGTTTTTGGTCATCTGAACGCGGGCGGAGCCGCGGGCAATGCTAGTAATATATAATACACAATCAGTGACAAAAAATGTTCTCACCATATGAACATTTGAGCGTGCTTTCAATTTTTTTTTGTGAAAACAACTTTAAGCATTGCATTTAAGGTTCAATTTCGATTTTTGTATTAACCATAATAATTACCTAAGCACAATTGATAACAGTTTTAAGAGAACTTTTGCGTGGGTTTGTGTATCTAGTACTTTTTTGATCGATGGACCCAATAGATCTCGATATGAATCCCTACTAAGTAGATATTTCGTCTACGATGTATGTATGTTAAGTTTCAAAGGGATGTTTGTTTTAAACTGTAATTATTTAATTGAATTATGTATTTGTAAAAAAATGTTGTTATTTAGGGAGGAGTAGCTAACAGTCCTGTTGAAAAACTCCAATAGAATTCCATCAAAAGCGACAAAAGCCACATAGAAACCAATTAATATTTATTGGTTTCTATGTGGCTAATAAAAAAATTAAATTCTGGAGTATTAATTGCTACTTTAATAGGAAGATAATATATTGGCTCCGTTTTAAATGAACTAACGATATTACTAGCGATTTGCCCATACTTCGCCCGCGTGGGTTCGTAGGTGTCTTATGTAATATGTCATTCTAGGTATATAGTCTATCTGTTTACTCAATTTTATCTAAATCCGTTCAGTCGTTTCAACGTGACGTAATAACAAACATATATACACGCATACAAACTTTCACGGTACTTACGTATTAGCGCCACCGCTGTAGATTGGCGGCAGCTACAGATTTGGCGGGTTTTAAGTGCCACGGTAATATTATTCATTACATTACCGTGGTAATACATGAGTATTAAGTACCACTTAGGTACTACTTTTACAAATTTCAAAAAAGTAGCAAAATTAAGTGGCAGATCTTCTGATGACTGACACGGTAATTATTTTACATAAAATAGTTATTCGTTTTTATTAAATTTAATAAACAAGCAATTCTTATAATTGTTTATATGTTTAATATATTTTATAAGTATAGAGATAACCTTAGAAACACTTATTGACCTTAATGTGATTCGAGTTCTTTAATCGTTGATAACACACGAGAGGGTGTTTATTATTAACGAACTATCAAAAAGTATCTATATCCAATTGAAATGATAACAGATAAATATATATTAAACTCGTTACAAAACAATATAATCCAATGTCACAAATCTTGAATGAAAAGGTAGTTATACTTATATTAGGTATATAAGTATAACTACCTTACCTTACCTTATACCTACCTATCTAAAGTGTTACTTATATCTATGAAAGAGATAAGTGTTGTGTCTGTGCAGGGGATACCAACTTAGCGAAAGTATGGACGTCATTCTAAAGATATTTTTATTTATGCGAAGTGATGCTAGGCAGCGCATTGGTAACGCATTCGTTTCGGAAACCGAGTGAAGCGGGTTCAAATCCCGGGTCTTGTGCCTGATATTCTCATGTGCGAATCATTTCCAACATGAATATTTTGTCTTTCGGTGAAGGAAAACATCGTGAGGAAACTTGCATGACTGAGAGAACTTAGCAAGTTTTCAAAACACATGGTCAGTCCGCCCGCACTCGGCCAGCATAGTGGACTATGGCCTGAAGGGAGTGGAACGCGCCCTGCAGTAGGACGTTAAATAGGGCTGAATACAAGCGATGCTACTCGAGCAAAGTTGTGGCAGAATACTAGTATATTTTTTCTAAAGTCGCCTGTTACTATATATTTATTTTCTTTAAACATTTTTAGATCATCTTACAATTGCTGCAACATCCACACTTACTAGTTCGTCAATATGGGGCATACTGCGAGGACTGGAAACCCTCGCACAGCTTTTCTATCTATCAAACGACCGCAATGTACGTAAAAAAAATTAATTTCGCTGATTATTATAAGCTAAATCTTTATAAAGAATTCATTACAAATTTCGAGTGATATCTACGAGTACGTAAGTAGTAATACTTGCTAATCAAACTTTAACTATATTTAACTTGACACAAGAATCGATACAAAAGTGTCTCGGGAATTTAAACAGTGGAGGTACCTACATTTGGTTTACTTTCTATATTAGATTTGGGAAGTCTCGACATTTTCAAAGTCCCGGGACGTCCCGAGTCTTCAGGATTTCTCAGAATATGGGTAAATTCTCATATAAAACGATTTTTAAAGCATTATTTAAAAGGGTCCTGGTCATATCGAAGGTTGCAACACCTAAATAAATATAAAAAAATAAACGCTTTATTCGAATGTTACAATATACGTACATTAAATATCAGTGACAACTACTATATTTTATTTATTATTTAGGAAATCCGTATAAACGAGACCGACATAACCGATTTCCCGCGCTACAAACATAGAGGTCTGTTGCTGGACACGGCGCGACACTACATCTCTGTATCTAACATCCTGAAGACTTTAGACGCAATGGAAATGAACAAAATGAACGTTTTCCACTGGCACATTGTAGACGACCAGAGTTTCCCGTACCAAAGTGAAAAATTTCCAGAATTAAGGTAAGCGTTGCTTAAAATAGCAATAAAATCTTTTTTTTTTAATTAAAACACTGATATTTTTTCTTCGAAACGTCATTTAATTTTTGATAAGAAATGATGAGATTCTTTTTTTTTTTATTAGAAAGTGATCAGAAGATCCGAGTGTATATTCTTGAAAAAGTTTTTCAATTATTTATATATCGTATACAATTTATGTATATAAAAAAATTTAATACCATTTATGATTTTAAAGGCTTTTTCATTTCTTTCCTAAAGAGAATCCATATCTATAAAACCAGCAGATATTCACATTAACGTAACGTACTTCTAGCCAGAATTTAATATAGCTAGTAACAACATTATTACCATAATATCAATTTTAATACCTCCACGACCGCGGACACACCGGCGTGTCAAGTTAAGAATATTTTTTTAGAATTTAAATTAATTTCTTAGAAATTAATCTGGAGATGCTAATGTTATCATAAAATTATAAATAAAGATAAGTATTATTTTTCGCTTTCACGTTATTTATGTCCAGTGAACTGGGGGCATACGACTCGTCCATGGTGTACACGCGGGAAGACATCGAGCGGGTGGTGCGCTACGCGCGGGACCGCGGCATTCGAGTCGTACCGGAGTTCGATGCACCTGGTAACTTATTCATTTAAGTAGAATTATAATATAATATATTGCTATTTACTTATATATGTTTTATTAATATCCCAATTTATTTTTATTTTATTTTAATTTTTTTTTTTCATATATTTTTACTTTAATGCGAGTAATTAAAACAGAGGGACATGTGTAGATAGATGTACAGTGTACTATCCCGTGAGGAACGAATGCTTGCCATTTGCATTGATCATTTTTTTCATTCTACTAAGAAAGAGTGTACCTACTTGCAGCGTTTAATAGGTTTTCTTCAATAGAAACCAATAAAGAAATTTTTCTTTTATACCTATCATAATTACACATATCTGTTTTAATTTTTTACATGCCAAATTTTAACGATCAGTTCGGTATTTATTACATTGCTAAATGCTAATATCACATTAATGCATAATTAAGTAGGTATATTTTGTTACCAAACACCTATTTAAAAAGTGGTCGTTAGAAATATGTAAATTATAAAGATTCATTAGGATCACAAATAAATATGTCAAAACAAGTTAATATATTTTAAATTATCTTCCAGGACATACGACGTCGTGGGGCGTCGCGTACCCCGCCATCATGACGGAGTGCTACAGCGGCGACCGGGTGATAGGCGCCGGCCCCATGGACCCCACCAACAACATGACCTACAAGCTGCTCAAGGACCTGTTCCAGGAAGTCCAGACCTGGTTCCCGGACAAGTATTTCCATATCGGCGGCGACGAAGTACAATTAGATTGCTGGTAAGACAATGTTCATATAAACGATTTGAAAATTTGAAGTTCATACAACTCGACTGCCTCTGTAGTGCTATTCTATTGAGATAGTAGAATCGTGCTATTGTCTGTGCTTAATATTATAAAGAAAAAAAGATTTATTTGTTTGTTTGTTGTACCGAATAAGCTGCGAAACTACTTGATCCATTTAGTAAGAAAATAGTTTGAGACCCTGGGAAGGACATAGGGTAGTTTTTATCCTGGAAATCATCCCTTAAAGGGGTGAAAATCTGTATGGAGAATCAACCTAGGGACAAACCCGAGCTATTACTTTATAGAACTGTATGGAGTAAATTCACGAATTCAGTTTTCAGATACATACAAATTCTTAGGGAAAAGCGCTACTGATATTATGTTATGTATTCATGTTATGACCTGACTATTCAATTATTAGACTTTTCATGTAGAACAAACATAGTTAGAAGGAAATTGTGAAGTAACTTAAGTTTCTTGCCGACTCTTTTCAGCAGAACTGCCTTTCGAGCCGGTGGTAGCTTCCTCACAGACTTACATACTTATATTTAATTAAAATTTAAAAAATGTGAAAATTGACAATTTAAAAGTACTTGTAAAAGTTTATTTGAATAAAGTATTTTTTTTAGTTGATTTGAATGAGAAGTTCAAGAAATCATCTTCATTGAAAAGAAAAATTATAAAAAAAAATATATTGAGTAATCAATAATATCTTTTTTAACCAACATGAAAAAATCAATGATATAATTTGACGACACGATTGGCTCAGTTTGTAGTGACACTACTTGCTGTGCCAACGGTCGCAGGTTCGCATCCCGCCGGGGGCATTAATTTGCGTGATGAGCACGAATGTTTGTAGTCCAGTCATGGGAGTTCATATTTATATTATGTATGTATTTAAAGTTAAACATGTGCAGTGTATCAACTATCTGGTATTCATAGCACAAACCTCGTAGCTTACCATGGAACTAGATGGTGTTGTGTGTTAATGTCCCAACATATTTATTATTTGAACAGGAGCACAAACCCAACAATACAAAAGTACATGAAGGATTATAACCTGACGGCGTCGATGTTACACGCCATGTTCATGAGGAAAGTGATTCCTCTTCTGGCGCCTAACTCCAAACCTATCGTATGGCAGGTAAAACAAACAAGATTACATAAATAAAAATAAATAGATACTTATGTACTTAATATAAAAACATCGATAAAAAAGTACATACTAGATACACAATCAGCGACAAAAAATGTCCTCCCCGAATGAGCGCTCATTTGAATACTATCAATTGTTTTATTTTATTTTTAGTGAAAACAACTTTAAGCTTCGCATTTAAGGTTCAATTTACATTGTTCTTTATTTATTACAACCAAAATAATTACCTTAACGCAATCGGTGACAGTTTTAAGGGAACTTTTACATGGGATTGTGTATCTAGTACTTTGTGATCGACGCGATTTATAAAAATATATTTAGTATATAAGCGACGGAGCTTCTCTCGGCGTAGGCTCGTCCATTAGGCTATTATCCGTTAGCGACCATGCAAGTACCACAAACGGATTGCGTTTTTAGAAAAGACACCTATATAGATAAACTTAAAAAGTAAAATCTTATCTGAATACAAAATTTTATCCAAATCGTTAGAGCAGTTTCCGAGACAGACATACAGACAAAAAAAATAATAACTATTATTTAAGGGGCTATATTCTGCAGGTACACAAAACGTTACAGCTATTGTTTTTTTAAATACATAATTTCGCTATGTTACTGTTTTATTATAAGTATATATAGATTCTAGTACTAGAAAGGGTCTTTAAGTACGAATACCTATCTTATTTGACTAACAACTGACTAATATGAACGGAATTTGACGTAGATGCTCAGTAATATTTAGTTTTAATATAACACAAAATGGTGTCTACTCTATCGTGATCTTAACCCTATAAATTATAATTTTGATTCTGCGATTTCGCCAGAACTAAAAAGCTGGTATTGTTGATATTTGTAGTGTTATTCTACCATATACATATATATATATTGCTTAATAAAAATGTATAGTATTAATGTAATTAATTAAATAGAGGTAAAACCAGTTTATTATAGAAACATAATTATTATAGGAAAATAAATAAGATGCAAGTTGAAGTAGTCTGTTTTTATTATGTAGTTATTTATAATATAAGAAAAAATATTTTTATTCATATTACGTACATGTTATGGAGAATATGATAATTATGTTTTGTTAATTATTACAATACATTCCTTCTGCTATCGTAAATGGTTTGTATCATTTGTTTGTTTGTATGATCTCATCTATAGAACTTCTAAACTAGTTCTGATAACCCTCTCACTAATCTAGATTATTCCTAAGAAAATTAAAGCTACACTGTAATCCATGTGATGAAAAGGTCACGAGATAACCCCAAATTATGCAAATGCCAATAACTAATATTATAATAGCTTGAGCCTTGAGTTTAGCATACTTGCGATTTCTTAAAAACAGAGGAATATCTCAATTTTAACTCTTATATTCTCTTTCAGGAAGTATTCGACGAAGGGGTTGATCTATCAAGAGATACGCTCATACAAGTGTGGAAGTACAATTGGATCAGTGAAATGATCCGTGTAAGTTGTTTTATTTATATCGTTGCATTTTATTGTTTAGAATCTAGATTATAAAGATGTAATAGATAACAGTAAATATTATCAAGTACTTATTTTTTTAGTTTTTTTTTAATTCGATTACAGATTTGATTTTTCTAGTGGTTTAGGCCATCGATCAAAAAAGTACTAGATACACAATAATCCCATGCGAAAGTTATTCTAAAACTGTCACCAATTGTGTTTAGGTTATTATTCTAGTTGAAATAAATATATACATAATAATGTAAATTGAACTTTAACGATGTTTTAAAAAAAATTACGACCCAAGCGCGCCGCTCGTCGCCGCCGCCATTACGCCACGCCATGACAGGGAATGAGTATTATGACTTAATTAAAAAAAAAACACTTTAAATTGCTTTTACGATGATTTCTTGACAAAATATTAGTATTTACATTATAGTAATAACAATTATATAATGATAATAATGTTATATTGATATTTATCGATAATATGAAACTCCATTCTGTTTTATCATCTTTGATGTTTCATTTTTGCAATTTTTAAACGAGCACCGAGGCATGCTTACCTTCGGAGCGTTCGAATGCTACTAAATTAAAAGCGCGCTCAAATATTCAAATGAGCGTTCATTTTATGAGGACATTTGTCGTTGATTGTGTATCTTTTTGATCGATGGTTTAGGCGGAAGAATAATTTGAATTTTGAATTTGAATTTTCTAAGAAAATATAACATATATCAGATTCTACGCGCGGGCCACAAGTTATTATTCTCGTCGACATGGTACTTGGACGCGTTATCGTCGGAGTGGCCCGCCTTCTACACGGCGGACCCGCGCCTCATGCTCGCGCCCTTCCTGAACAACGACACGCTGCTGGCCAACGTCGTCGGCGGCGAGGCCTGCATGTGGGGGGAGATGGTGGACGACCGGAATGTTATAAATAGGTATAATCACTATTGTTTTTATCCGACTGCGACAAAGAACATAGGAAGGTTATGTTTTGTTTTTAACCTGTATGTATGTCAATGGCTTCAAAGAGCGCCAGTTGAGCACAGATCTAGAACTACTATTCTTAACTTCAAAACCGTTTGCCATGAAAATTTATATTTTCACCACGCTTGCATTTGACACCATTCTTGTATGGATTTTTATATTGTGGTTACAAGGTAACAAAAAAATGATCTCACTTACCATCACCAGAGTATGGCCGCGGGCGAGCGCGGTGGCGGAGAAGCTGTGGAGCGCGGCGGGCGTGGGGGGCCCCGGGAGCCCGGGGGGCGCGGAGGGCCCGGCGGGCGCGGGGGGCCCGGCGCCGCACACGTACGCGCGGCTGGAGGAGCACGCGTGCCGCATGCTGCGCCGCGGCGTGGACGCGCAGCCGCCCTCAGGCCCCGGCTTCTGCCTGCTGTGAACTGTTATACCCGATAGTTGTAATAAATCTTAATAATAAAATAAATATCTTTGTTTATATGCTTACTATAATATTATAAGTATATGTTATTGTATCTTATGTGTTTTATTTGGGATTTGTGACAGCGATCGCTCTGCGGCTTCGGTTATAAAAAATAACGTATTTGCGGTGAATCAAATTCACTGCTAACGAAAATAAATCCATACTAATATTATAAATGTGAAAGTGTGTTTGTTTGTCTGTCTTTATTTCACGTCGCAACGGAGTGACAGATTGCCGTGATTTTTGGTATGAAGATAATTAGAGAGCTGAGAGTGACATAAGCTACTATTTATTGTGGGAGATATTCTCATTCCCACGGGAAAACACGTTATAATACAATTTAAAAAATTATTTCTGATCAGAATTAAGTACCTACTTGAAACTTGGTATTAATGCTCTTCAATACAAATATTTAATATATACGTGAAATAAATACGTATTATAGCATTTTTCGAAATTTATCCTATGAAGGGGTAAAATAGGGGATGAAAATTTTTATAAAACCTAGGTACCTTTTTAGAGATTTTTTTGTAGTTTTAGTGCGAGCGAAGCCTCGGGTTCTGCTAGTAGTTTTATATAATAAGTAACAGCACATGACAAAAAACTATAACGATGGCAACAGTTTATTCCTGTACCCGTATCGTCTGTTGATACTTTAAACAAAACTTATGAATGGGCTGAACGTTGATAAGTCAATCAGTAAGTCGCGACATTGCCTTTAATCTATACATAAGTACCTATGTATAATAAAATTCTGAGTCGAATCTGTAGGTGCATAAAATATTTTTTGAAAAATCTTATTGAAATAGTCATTATTATCAATACAAAGGCGGAACCTGTAGTTTTAAGATTTTTTGTCTGTCTGTCTGCCTGGGAACGCATCACATCGCATCGTATCACGAGAAAGCTACTGTACAGATTTTAATGAAATTTGGTATGATGACAGCTGGTTATCCACGTCTACATATACTATACTTTTTATTGCTGGAAAGTATCTCGTCTGAGAAATCTATACTAAACGTTAAAATGTAACTAGGGACGAACCCGTTAAAATCCGTTCCAGTAGTTTTTGCGCGAAACGCGCACATCGATTTCGCTAAGTTACTATTTTATTATATGTATAAACTAGCATTGTCCACGGCTCCGCCCGCGTTTCGATGATCAAAAACCAAATTCTTAGGTTTTACATATTAGTATACTCTTACAATGCAGTTTTTGTATTTTTTCTCAGAAATGAGATATTTTCCCGTGGTAAAAGTGTCCTATATGTTGACCCCGATAACTAGCTATCACCATACCAAATTTTATCAAAATCCCTCCAGTGGTTTTTCTGTGATGCGGTAACAAACAGACAGACAAAAATTTTAAAAACTATAGATTCGGACTCTGTATCGATAATAATGTCTATTTCAATTAGATTTCCCAAAAAATATTTAATGTACAGATTCGACTTAGTTACAATTTTATTATATGTATAGATTAGGAATGCATATAATAAATTAAATAATATAGTCGTCATTTTATGTACTTTAAAATATTTGCACATATACGCATGTCTTAATGTTCCCACTTACATTAAAAATGTGTTCACTGTGTGAGTGAAACTAAATTACTAATTAGTTTTATTATTCTGATAAAAGATAAAATAAATCTCTCTTATGCATATCTAATGAGATGATAATTGATTAACTTACACTACTGATAAGACATTCAACGAAAAAATAAATATCGCTAAAAGTAACATTTTTAGGACCTTGGGGTGATAAATAGAACATATTTAATTGTTTTTAACTATGCATTGCACCAAAAGCAATAGTAGGAGTTATAATTATCTTTGCGAACATACATTTAGTTCGGTTAGTCTTAGATTTATTTATATACCTAAGTATTTCTTCCTTTTTACCCGACTGCGCGACGCAAAGGAGGGTAATGTGTTTATTAGTCTATCTATGTATGTATGTTTGTTCCTATGTAGTGTTCTACTCGTAGAGACCATACGTGTGGGCCAATTTTGATGATTTATACGTTATTAGATTCGTCTTGATAACACGAGTGTCATAGGTTATATAAAAATAGTTAAAAATTAAAATGGCAAATCAGACGCCTATTTGTGACTTTAAAAAAATCCTCCAAACCAATCGAGTGGGGTATCAAAATAAAGGTTTTTAACAGGCGATCACAAAAATATATAGAACTGATATTATATATATGTTTAAAAGTAATTTAGGATAAAAAATTGCTAAATACTACTTTAAATGTCTAATTATTTGGCCTAAAGCTGTAAATAAATATAATAAAACCCGACTGCATAAAAGCTAACTAAAAAAATGAAAACAAGTTGACGAAGGAATATATACATTACCGTGTTTATACACTCGGAGACATAAATATCTCGCGGCTGTATGAAACGTGTTACATGTCTCCGGCTGTACAATACTGTATTCCTTCGTCAACTTGTTTTTAACTTTTTAGTTAGCTTTTATGCAGTCGGGTTTTTTTATTTTTACAATATATTGTTTTTTTTTGTGCTTTTCACTTTATAGAGCAACTTCTTCTCCCTGCCCATTTCCCAATCACTTGGGGTCGGCGCAGTACATCTTCTGTACTGCTGAAAGGATTTGGCAAAAGTTTTACAACCGGCCGCCTGCCTGACGTCAACCCTCCTTGGGAATTTATAAAGTAACAATTAATATTTTTATGTACCGTAGTTGGTTTTTTTTATTACAGTTTTATCAAGTTTTCTCTATGGAAATGAAAATTAATGTTACTTTGTATGTTTGCACTCTATGCGTTTCTACACCATTCATCCCTAGGCTAGGGACGTACTCGAGCTAACAGAGAGTAAGCTGCTAATAATTACTTATTACTTATAGAAAATAAAATTCCTCAAACTGCAATATTTGTTATAATTAATAGTAATTTTGTTTATATATTACATTTTATCCTAATTTGCGCAATTAAATGGTAACCGTAAATATTTCTTATCATAATTTAAATTGTTCTACATAACAACGGAGTAATTTATTCACTGCCTCATAAATAACGTTCGTTTGTCAAACTTTTAGAAACGCTTCTCTTTTAAAGTACTATTTAATTGTAACCATAAGTTACTATGATATTACGTTGTATCATTGTTATAATATTTGGTGTTACTTGTGGGAATGGTTTTAGTATTGTAAATGTCGGGCCCAAATATCCGCCAACCAAAGGGGAGGTTTGGCCTAAACCACAAAAAGAATATAAGGAAAATACCTTTTACACTTTCGACTCGTCCCGTTTTAAAATTAAGGTAATTAAAATTTATAATAAAAATAAATAATTACTTTTAAAATATTTTTATATAAATGTATACAAAAATATTTTTTTATAATATAATAATTATAGACTGTTGGAAAAACCTGCGATATTTTGGTGAATGCAGTACAGCGTTATTTGAACATATTTAAAAACATAGGCAAAAACAATATAACATTAAACAATCTAAGAACTTACACGAACAAATTGTACTTGGGGACATTGAATGATCTTGAAATTTTTCTCAGTGTTCCTTGCGAAGAATATCCACATTCTGAAATGGAAGAAGGTTGTAAGTAACTGAAATAAAATTTTGAACTTAAGCACTTAAATGAAGCATTTTATGACGTGTTTCTTGACTGTTTCCATTTGATTATTGACTGCAAACAGCAGCCGGGCCTGGCATCGCAAAGCCATCGCCATGCGACTTTCCGGCAAATCTATACATGATATAATAAAATTGTAACTAAGCCGAATCTGTACATTAAATATTTTTGGGAAAATCTTATAAACATTATTATCGATACAGAGGCCGAATTTCTAGTTTTTAGACTTTTTGTCTATCTGTCTGTTACCGCATCCCAGAAAAACCACTGGAGGGATTTTGATGAAATTTGGTATGGTCATAGCTGGATAACCAGGTCAACATATAGATACTTTTTATCGTGGGAAAATATCTCATTTCTGAGAAAAAATACAAAAACTGCAATGTAAGTATACTAATATGTAAAACCTAAGAATTTGGTTTTTAGTCATCTGAATGCGGGCGGAGCCGCGGGCAATGCTAGTATATTATAAAATTTAATTTAAATATTATTATATATATCTTTATTATATTATTTATAGACACAAATAGTACCACGCACAATAGCAATATATTTTAATATGTGTCTATACGTATTAAGACACGTGATACGAAGGTCTTGAGTTTGAGTGCCGGTCGGGACAAGTTTAGCTATTGAGGCTTTCTGTCAACGACTACTCAGCCGAGTAGTCGTTGCTTTCTGTTAAAGTTTCTGTAGTCAAAAACGGCCAGGACATCATTGGAATAGACGTCCAATAAAAGAACAACATCTCACTCATAGACCAGTAACAACAAGAATCTCACTAAAGAGATCAACAGAAAATCAACAAATGTTCAGAATCTTTCGTCTTTACAGTTTACACTACTTATAATTTAATTTTAAACGGATTCATTTCTATGATACTTTTAAGAAAAAAGAATAGCATTTCTTTTTGTTTCAATATTTAATAACTGGGACCATTTTTTTTATTACAGATTTCCTAAGCGTGTCTACGACACCTTTGTTAATAAGCACATCAATATGGGGTATACTAAGAGGACTCGAAACTTTCGCTCAACTATTATATCTTTCTAATGATCGTGATGTAAGAAACTAATCAATAGTAATACAATATTATAACCACATATAAAAATAATAAATATGTAACCAGGACAAATACGCGTTCAAACAAAAAATTAAAATTTGTTAAATTGAAAACCTCAAGTTACCTATTTAAAATTTAAATTGAAAATTAAATTAGATGAGTACCGCCTTTTAACTGCAACTGTTTCATTTAAATGGTGAGGTTCCGTTTTGCCAGTATTTGTCTATGACTTACCGGTTTTAATAAACATTTACATAAGCTTATGTATACTCTAAGTAATAAATAGTTATGTTTGGAACTTCTGATAAAATACAATCTTTAGTAGCATATTTTTAAATTGTAAAATTAGTGTCAAATTTAAACGTGTTTGTTTAATTAAAACATGATAAATTAATTACATATTATATAAAATATAAGAAAAACATAAATAGTACAAAATTATAAAGCTTAGTGAAATAGAAATAGGAGAAAGAAAGAAATTTTTATTATAGTTTTGTATGGTAGTTTCTTTTAACAATCAAATTCAATTTTTTTTGTGTTTTATAATATTAACCCAGCACAGAGTAGTTAGAATAAGATTTAGGTATTATAGATGTACAACTTACAAGCTAACGTTATTAATTTTACAGGAAATATTTATAAATACCACAGACATATATGATTACCCTCTCTATAAGCATCGTGGACTCTTGCTGGATACATCTAGACATTATATATCTTTATCAAATATTCTGAAAACTATAGATGCAATGGCAATAAATAAAATGAATGTATTTCATTGGCATATAGTAGATGATCAAAGTTTTCCATATCAAAGTAAAATATTTCCGGAATTAAGGTGACTTATTGCTTATTTTATGATGATATGTAAGTAAAAAATACTGTTAAATTTTATTTATGTTCAAAGTGAACACGGTGCTTTCAATAAACTCTTAGTTTATACGAAGGATGAAATTAAAATGGTTGTCAAGTACGCTAAGGATCGTGGTATCCGAGTAATTCCTGAAATTGATGTCCCTGGTAATGTATAATTTTTTTTTCTATATTTATAAATAACTAGACAATTTTCAATTTTTCATTTTATGCCTTACTTTATTTGTCACAATATTTTCTTATAAGCCTAAATTTATATGAATATTACAATGCTGAAGCTTAATAATTTTTATATGATATTATTGTAAAGGGCACACAACTTCTTGGGGAAATGCACATCCCAGTATTCTGACCGACTGTTACTATGGAGGTAAAATAATTGGAAAAGGACCAATGGATCCAACAAATAATGGTACTTATATATTACTTAAACATCTTTTGGAAGAGGTCCAGACTTGGTTTCCTGATAAATATATTCACCTTGGTGGTGACGAAGTACAATTAGATTGCTGGTAAGTTTTCTCCATCTCTAATAAATGTGAAATTTTACATGCTTTACAAAAAAGCAAAAGCTTAGCAAAAGCTATTATTTAATATAAGGAGATTAATAATACATTTAAAAATATGTACTTTATAAATTGTTAACGTTACAGGGAATCAAATCCAAAATTACGATTGTTCATGAAAAAACACAAATTAACAACATCAGGTCTTCACGCACTTTTCTTAAATAATACTTTACCTCTTCTTACGTACAACACTAAAAGTATCGTTTGGCAGGTAATACCCTCTAAATCTGATTTTATCAAAAATTATAATAAACTGCAGATATGTTTGGATTATAAGATTTTTTTTAATTTCAGGAAGTATTTGACGAAGGTATTAATGTTCCTAAGGATACACTTATACATGTATGGAAAGATTTTTGGATCATTGAAATACTAAAAGTAATCCTTTACTTTTTTAAATTTTCGCGTTTCATATAATTGTATAAGAATGATACTACGGAACTAAACGCGTATGTACTCTTACGTGACAAAATACCTGAGTTTGCTCATAATTACGGCTGATGCAACCCAGTCAAAATCTCGGGAACAAGGTATTTTGCTACATACGCGTTCAGACCCGTAATATCACTCTAAAAAAAGTAATAGAATTCTAGATCTTTTGAATGTCTATTTTATTATTATATACTTAAACATGTAAATTTGGAATGATATTACAGATTTTACTTACTGGGTACAAAGTTATATTTTCATCAGAATGGTATTTAAGCGATCTTAATTCTGAATGGCATGATTTTTATGCTTTTGATCCTCGACAAACTTTGAGAATTTTACCCTTATCTGAGGAATGTTTACGGGGCGTCGTTGGGGGTGAAGCTTGTATGTGGGGTGAAATGGTGGATGATAATAATATTTTAAGCAGGTAAAATAATCTCTTTCTTAATATAGGGTAAAACTTAGAAATAATAACACTCTTCGTACGTTCACACTTGAACAGTTTTACATCATTTAAAGTTTGGCACTTTTCCCCGAGAACCCTATCCATATTATGTTATAAATGATTTTTTTTATTTTATTTTGAATTTATTAGTAGATCTCGCTGCCTAAGAATATTCAAAGAAAAATATTTCACGAAATAAAGCCATGAGGAAAACTAGTATTAAATAAAATTAATTAAAGTATTTATTAAAAATAAAGGAAACTGAAAACGTAATAAAATAAATCTAAATAATGTCCGAATAATTGTATATATGTGAGGTACAATCACGATTTAGATCCCAAGTCGAAATAAGTTATTTTAAGATCCATTATCAACGTTACATCTAGACTATTATAATTTACTAAATACTTTTAGGGTATGGCCACGAGCGAGTGCTGTCGCTGAAAAATTGTGGAGTAGCCCTCTTGGCGACGGTCATACAAAATATTCCATTCCTGTGGAAGTATACCATCGTATAGAAGAACATGCATGTCGTATGATACGCCGTGGCATAAATGCGCAACCACCAAATGGCCCTGGTTTCTGTATCGTATAGAATTAGGTTTTGAATAGGTTCTAAAATTTCTTTTGAATTTGTAATATTAAATTAAATATATTTATTATTGTAATAACGCTGTATTCTATTGTATATTTAAACTAAGAATACTGACTTGGACTTTCACTCTTTCGTATACGTTACACACATACGATAAACCCTTTTAAATATAAAATATAATTTTTAAACTCATATTAAACATATTTATATGGGCTTAGCAGGTTGTATTGAATTTTCATTTATTTTGTAGTTTTTATTTTTCTATAATTCAATGTTTTGTCTATGACTTTTTTAAAATTGACATTGCACAACGTATCTTGGAAAAACCGGTTTCATTATCGATTTCTCTTGCATGCGAGTGTTTGTTATCTGTGAAAATTTTGTAAACATTAAACAATTTGTTTGAATACATGTGCACCTCATGCAAATAAGTATATTAAATTTAAAATACAGCTGCGATATGATATTAAACTAATAAGTAGAGAATTGTTAAAATGTCTGGTTATTTAGAGGTGAAGTATCCTTTTAAGTCAAATCTCGGATTGAATCCTTTCAAAGTAAGTATTGTTTCATAGTTGAGTGGTCGGTAGTTATAAGTCATATCGTCGTTGCATTGATTATTTATTATTGGCAGTCTTGGAAGAGACAATGGTGTATTCTGCGGCCAAGTCCTACGAATGCAGGTGGTGGATCACTTGCTGTTTACTGTAGCGAAGCAGGAGCTCCGGCTGGGACAATTGAGTTACGTACTGGATGTATTGTAAAACGTGCGAAATCTCGTACTCGGCCTCATGCCTTCGCTGTGTTTTCAATTGACGAGCCTTGTAAGCCTCGCATACTACTGGCAGCGCAAAGCCTTCAAGAAGCGCAGCAGTGGATGGACAAAATCCGTGACTTATTGAATGGCGAAAAACTTTTAGGTAAGTAATTTAGTATTCTACCTTCAAAAAAAGAGAATATTATGCTTTGAACAAAGTCGGATAGACTTTGTTCAAAGCATAATATATCAAAAGTATTGAACAAAAAAATCATTCTCTGTAAACTGTAAGTTGTTTATAAGATATTAAATAGGTTGACAGTAATTTCCTAAAAATTTATAATCTTCTCAATTGATTGTTTAAGAAATATACTAAAATTTATGATCTAGAATAAAATAAGACTTGGCTATACCAAAAGCAAATATTTTAATTTTAAGTTAAGGTAAAAAAAAAATTTAAGTAGATGTTTATTTAAACATAATTTTAGCATGTAAAATTGTAAAAAATGGTTTTAACTATCCATTATACAATTTTATAAGTTATATTTCAGACTACTCTTATCTACATGGTAAACATGTCCATGGTCCAAATTAGGAATGAGTCCATTGACGTCATAATATTGAATGCAAATATCTAGAGCATTTGTAATAATAATACAGTATGAATGTAAATTTAACCTTTGTAATAGTGTAATTGCAAGTAAGACAATACTATGAAAATATCTATATGCATCTTATTACTGTTAGTCAAGTAAAATCTAGTAGACAAAAAAATAAATATATATCTAAATATATTATATAGTTTTAATTATTTTGCTTAGTCCAGTAATGTAATGAGAATTATTTTATTTAGTGGTTAATTACATAAATATATATCCATTGTCAAAAAATAAAATGTCATTATGTAAGTAATATGAGAAGTTTATTGTTATCATGTATCATTTTTTGTTGAATTTACAACTTAATTCTTTCTAATATACCATTTTGTGTTTCATACTCATGTGATCATTCTATGTGCTTGTTGTTAATGCAAAATTTTTAATTTCATAGTTTTGTTGTATACATAGTATCCATATTATATACTATATGTTGTAGTATAATGATTTTTTAAATCTATTACAATTCATAATTGCTTTCTTCAGTTATATACACAATTTGAAATGTGAAATTTATTAAATTCTAAAAAATGTTATAATCAAACTTTCAGTCATTCATATCTCTTTAAAATATGTTTAAATATGACAAATTTTATTCATATTACATAACAACTATATATGAATATATAATATGCTGTTCTATTGTATACTAAAAACCTATGAAATTAATGATTGCAAGTGTCATGCTTATTCATACCATTTTCAGGCACCGAAACATTACTTAAAGATTCATACTCTGTGATGATTATACCCACCGAGCTGTCTCGTAAATGTGGTGTTGCCAGTAACAGTAATCTAACACTTTCATCGAATGGATTATTGTTCTCTAAGCTTGATTCTGACATGGTGATACGTTGGCAACACATTACTGATATTATCCAGACAAGAGAGAATGGGGACAAGAATAAAACCTGTGTACTTAGTGTTGATAGGTTTGTTGGTTTTTTGAATCTTCACCATGTTTGTTCTAATGCACTTGTTCACTTCAGTGAATGTAATGTCGTGAACATGATTATTTATTATATTTAATATTTATATACTTTGAGGATTTTTTATAATATGCTAAATTATATTAAAGAAAGGATATGAAGTTTAAACATATATATAGTATATATTAGAGCTATGAACATATTCAAATGATATATTATGCATATATATTTCATTACATTACTATACATTTTATATTTAATACATTCATTGTATCATAAAAAATTGTTTATCACAATCGAGCACTGTAGTGTTAACCCTTGTATTTTAGCTTTATTTTCTGCTTTTAAAAAAAAAGGTGAATAAAAAAGGCTTTAGTTAGTTGAAACGCGGCATTTATTTATATATGATATTAGTGACTTACATCCCTAGGTAAGTGCACATAGCGTTGCTACAGTTTAATAAGATCTTTTTAAAAGGAATAATTCCGTAACACAATTTTATTAGTTTACGCGGCGCACGCCAATAAAGCTCCCAGTCGACATGATTTTTTCCGACATCTTCAACAATCATCGTCATATTTCAGTCAATTGACATAAAACTTTAATGAATTATACAACTAAACCTTCCTCACGAATCTCATCATCTATTGGTGCAAAACCGTATGAAAATCCGTTTGGTAGTTTTTGAGTTTATTGCGTTCAGACAGATAGACAGGTAGACAGACGCGGCGGGAGATTTTATTTATTTATTTATATATTATGGATCTCCAATAGAAGTACATATAAAAATACAAAAAATAGAAACTCTTTGGACAGCGTCTAAAATGTACCCCCAATTATTGGAGAACACAATATGCACTAGAACAGTGTTGATAGTATGCATAGGTGAAACTAAATCTGACTAAACTGATTAACAAAACCAAATTAAAATAATAATTTTGTTATGAGAAATATTCTTTACATCACGAAGAGAAACATTTCTTTTTAAATGTATTAAATATGTCGAAACCCATGTCTGCTGTTGGTATTGCATTAAAATAGTCACGACATGCGGGCTAATCCTACTAATATTATAAACGCGAAGGTTTGTAAGAATGTATAGATACAATGGTCAATGGATGTATGTTTGTTACTCTGTCACGCAAAAACTACTGAATGGATTGTGATGAAACTTTACAATAATAACATATAGACTACTTTTTATCCCGGAAAAATGTATGGTTCCCGTGGGATTGATTTGTTTTTGTTTTTCTAGAGGCGAACCTGAGTGAAGCGAGGGTGAGCCGCTTATGGGTGATATTTTCCTAAATTAGTTCTACTTCTACTCGTTTTGAGCAATGGACATGGATTTCGAGGTGGTTTCTATGGTACATTTATTTTCTCAAACAACAACTACTGTCGACCTTATTATGGAAAAGTTTATACAGAAAGATTAAGTCCAATATATTTGGTCGTAAATGTAGAGGTTGCAATTCAAAGTACTTAAGTCGATCACTATAGCTTCTTAGAGGTAGGTTAGAGGTTAGAGGTCATACGATAATATGTATAGAATATCGACTCACCCTCGCTTCGCTCGGTTCCTCACTAGGTACGTTTTAATTTCTTTAAGCGGAACGCTAATTCTTTTTTAAAAATAAAAGTAGCCTATGTTACTCCCTATAACATCAGCTATCTTCCAGTGAAAGTCCAGTTAAAATCAGTCCAGCCATTTCAGAGATTATCCGGAACAAACAGACAGACACAAAATTTAAAAAAATGTGGATTTCTTATAAGTACCTATCGTATATAATTTCATATGCACATTTAGTAAAACGCTGTTATTTTGACATTACAAACACACTTCAATTTTATTTATCTATATAGATATGGAAAAAAATAAACGATATTTCTAAATACGAGATATGACAGAGTCAAAGTTGCTCTTTACTATAGTTGCCTTTTTTTTTAACGTTGGGAAATGCATTTACGCACGAGGTGTGGGACTCACCGGCAAAGCCAGTACTACCCACTAAAACTCAACAAAACCTTCCCCCGTCTTAATGGGGCGTCGCAGGATCGCTTACGCATTCAACTACGACGCTCGACGGCAGGTCTGCCGAGGCAGACCACAACGACCATGGGGTTGCTCCAAAGTCCACTCTGCTATCAGAGAAGTACCAGGAGCAACCCGCATGGTACACCGCCCTCCGAAGAGGGCCACCTCCCACCGCCCACCGAAGGCGGCCACCTCCCTGTGCGTTTCTTGACTTCGCGCCCGGCTGTATTGCCGGGCACTACTGAGCCCCCCCACCACGACAAGGTGAACGCACGTTGGGGGGGTTACTATAGTTGCCTATCAACTCTATGTTGCTGCTTAAATTGAATATTTTATAAACGAATTTGAACTGGTGACCTGCAATCATTGCAATCATTGAACTGTCAGTATTTAATTACAATAAATAAGGAAAAATGAGCCGTTAATGATTGATGTCTCTTAACCCGAAGTCAATTATCGTAATTACGTACATGCTGTATAAGCACATAACAATGGCCTATTTAGTGCCATGTTGTTTGAAATGTGTAATTAATAAATATAATTAAATTGTTTATGCGGTCATTTACTCTTTTTTAGGAATTCATTGTTATTTATGACTTAATTATTACGTCATCATCATAATATTATGATATTATTTTTGAAGTAAAATTTCTTGGCGTGACTAAGGTAAGTTAAATACATTGAAAAAATGAGTGTCGCGAGAATGAGAAACCAATTTATTGTTAATAATTTTGTAATAATTATTACTTATAGAAATGAATTTTTATTACTAATAATTTTATAATAATTATTATATTTATATTTTGATTTGTTTTTTTTTATTGCGGTATTTGCCACAGCGCCAAAGAAGTTTAATTTCAACCGTTTGAAAAGCTGCAATTTACACGATTTCATTTTTTTGAATACACTACCTAGCCATACATTTGAAATTCTTTCAAATTTTTTTTTGTAGTTACACTTTGCACGTTTGGAAAAAATTATGAGAGTAAAATTTTTACGATGCGCGCGCACACCGACAGCCAAGAATGCGACATGATGAAGTTAGCTGCATTCCTTTTACAAACAGAGAGTTGTTACATACGGATTAAATCTTTAGCTATTTTTGTTCTGTTACGTTAAAGAAGTATAAGCGCTTACATGCGTACATAAGTACCTACACACACACACACACACACTTTTTAAGTACTTTCTCATTTAATTAAGTTTTTACTTAATATTTTTTTATAACATTGCTTTCGTGACTAATTATTATTAATCATTAACTAATTCTCTCATTAATTAATTATCATTAACCTACATACTGCTTAAAAATACACATGGGAAGAGACACAGTTTATCCAATAATTAAGTTTATTTCAGTATTTATAAAAATAGCGTAATTATAATAACATTTCACATCTAATCCATATTTATATACATTAATAAAAAAAACATATATTCATCAAAATATTAGCTTGATTTTGCTAGTTTTGTTAGCTAAAACATTAGCGTAGGTCGTGGATTTGGTTTTCGCACGTTTAAAAATTTATTATAGGTACTCTGTGTATTTTTAGCCCTGTACCGGTGATTAAAGTAAAAGCTATTGCGTAGCGTTATTTTATTTTTTAACAAAAATAGATTATTAATTAATTATCACTATGCCTAATGCTTTGAATTTAATTTACTTATGATATATTTTTAGAGATTATTATTTATTATTAATATATAATATAAATAATAATTTATTGATTATTAGATATTATATAACAATTATTCATATACGTAAAAAAACACATGTATATTTGTTATACGAATATCACACTAATATTATAAAGATAGATAGTGAAGACAGTTTGTTGCTTCTACACCCTTTAACGGCTCAACGGACTAATGCCAAGTTCAGTCTGTTTATTTTAGTACTTTATATCGATCTAGGTACCTACCTACTACACAAACGGAGCCGTGTGATAAAACTAGTTCATAATTATATATTACATGTACATTTCAGTATATTTAACGGCGGTGGCGATTTCAAGTTTAGCAGCGTACTCGGTAACGAGCTGACCGTGGCTATAAAGCAGGCGATGAAAGAGAACACTCGCAGTGGCCACCTGAGTAGAAGTCACCCGGAACTGTCCACCGCCTGCCATCAAAGTGGTGAGGAATCATTTTTTTTTAAATGATTATTTTTTTTTCGGTGTGATTTTTATACTACGAGTAATTAATGTATAAAGTATATAATTGAATTATGTGTAACCTTACAACACCGTGTCTATTAAGAGCCATTTTGTTCTTAAACTTTTGTTAAAATTATGTTGCTAGACAAAAAAATTAACAGCGCCATCTTTAAATACATGCTAAGCGCTATAAAGATTTAAGATTCTATTAAATGGTTTCCATTTGCTTAGGTGACAATATTTTTTTCTATTTGATGAGATTCCAAACACAATACACTCGAATTATGCTTATTTAAGTAAGGGAATAGAATTTTTACATTATTTTGTTTTAAACTAGCATCGCCCACGGCTCCGCCCGCGTTTAGATGACCAAAAATCAAATTCTTAGGTTTTACATATTAGTATACTCTTACAATGCACTTTTTGTATTTTTTCTCAGAAATGAGATTTTTTCCCGCGGTAAAAAGTATCCTATATGTTGACCCGGATAACCAGCTATCATCATACCAAATTTCATCAAAATCTGTCCACTGGTTTTCTCGTGATGCGGTAGACAGACAGATAGACAGACAAAAATTCTAAAAACTAGATTCGGACTCTGTATCGATAATAATGTCTTTGCAATTAGATTTCCCAAAAAATATTTAATGTACAGATTCGATTTAGTTACCATTTTATTATATGTATAGATTATGCTTTGTGTTTATAATTTTTGTGAGGCCTCGTCTAAGATAATTTTTCCTACACATTGGCCTAAATAAAACATTACATACGAGTATGTCAATATAAAAACTATGTTTCTAAGCCAATGGAAATCGATTTTTTTAATTCTAGGTATGGCCGTTGCAACAATATTAAATTATTTAAATCTTAAAAATTTGATTTAAAATAGAAATAAAAATCGTGCATATTATTGTACGCTTTATTTTTTTCTTCTTTTTACAAATCTGTCACAAATCTAATTAATAAAAATGTTAATAATAAAGGTCTTAATCAAAAATGTTAAAGTATAAAAAGGATGTGTGTGTATATTTGTGTGTACCTATAAAGGGTTAACACCTCCAGGTAAATTTCTAAGAAATTAATTAATTTTCTAAGAAATCTATTGTTAACCGACACGCCGGCGTGTCCCCGGTCGTGGAGGAATTATATGACCGTGAAAATTATTTTACAGGTGAATTGCGTCGCAGTAGTTGGTACAGTGGTCCTTCAGAGATTTCCCTCGACGACACCGATCTCATCATGTCCAAGGTAAAATGAATATAAATATTATTATATTAAGTAAGCATTTATATAGATTAAACAATTGTTGTGTCGGTATCGTGTGGAAGGTCTCTCGGGGCCGATTCTGATAAAAATATTAAGTACAAACAAAAATTTACTTAACACAAAGCAAACAATTCTAGGATTTTTTTATATTCGTTTTAAAAATATGTAACTATACAAATAGCCAGTTTTAATAATATTTTATTTTACTTAAACTACTGTCCTTTTGAACAAGGTCTAATTTGGTTGTTCGATCTAGTGTTGCCAAATTCATTCCGTACCGTATTCAATTGAATATCGTAACAACTTAAATGGGAGAAAACGGTTCTAAGACAAAGAGTGTATGTGCGTGTAAGCACTAAGCACCTCCGTGTGTGTGTGTGCAGGAGGCGCGGCTGGGCGCGCGCCGGCAGCTGTCGCGCTGCAGCGGCGCCGGCGACCTGGCGGAGCGCGCGCGCCGCCTGCTCTGCCCCGGCACGGACCTCGCGGACGACAGGTGGGTCGTGTTGTTTTTTGAAATGATTTTTTTTTGGAATTGTTGTGATTTGAAACTCGATGATAATAGCTGAATCCTATATAATAAATATATAAGATTAAGCCGGCGAGAGAATGTATCTCATTCTCAATTCAATTACATTGCTATGTTGCCATGGTAACCGTTGTTATTATCTGACAAATGTATAATAATATATAATTTTCGTATATGATATTCTATGTTTTTTCTTATATATGATTGTAGTATACCTAATATGCCTTATTTAATTATTGATGTGTTTCAATTTAATTGCCTAAAGTTGTAAACCACAATACTAATATTTATTAGAAGTACAAAGAAATGTTTTTTTATAAGCTAAAAATTGTTCCCCCCAAGCTAAGAATTTTTTTTTTCAATCCAGCCTAATCTATATAAATAAAAATGAATCACCGAAATGTATGTACGCTCATAACTGCCGATCGACTGCACCGAATTGGATAATTCTTTTTTTTTGTGTTTGTTATTGTCAGGACAGTCTTGGTATAGAAGAAAATTAAAAGATTTTTTTTTACTAAAATAAGTTTTTTTTAAATGACATGATATGAAAAGTGAGTGAGTGAAATAGTTTTTATCGCGGAAATCATCCCCTAAGGGTGTGAGAATGGGGATGAAAGTTTGTGTGGGGAAGCGAGCTAGGCATGAAACCGAGCGAAGCGAGGGTGAGTCGCTAGTAATATATTACTATGTGGTCAGCAGCATGTGCTCGCGGCGGTCGCTGGCGTCGCTGGCGTCGGTGTCGTCGGGCGTGTACGAGGAGATCGCGGAGACGGCGCTGGCGCCGCGCGCGCGCGAGGACCCCACCTACGAGAGCGTGGAGTGCGTGTACGCCACCATGCGCCGCGCGCGCCGCGCGCCGCCGCCGCTGCCGCCGCGCCGCACGTACGGGTGAGGCCGATGCCTATGTTGGCTTTAAAAAAAATATTGTAAGCTGATGGGGGGTGTTCTTTTTTTTAATTATAAGCTGACGGGTAGAATTCTTTTTTTTAAGTATAAGGTAATTGATGGAATTCTTTTTAAAAAAAATTAGGTAATGAATGCAGTCCTTTTTTTGAAAATTTTATTTGAAGATATCTGTTATATATTTATGTGTGTGGGTAAACCTTAAAAAGGTACTTAGTGGCTGCGCCCACAACGCGAAGCTTGTCGAGCAATAAATCAGTGCGTATCCAACTACCAAGCATTTCACTTGTCCCCGGCAGCATACATAACAATATCTATGTGGTATGATTTATTTAAAGAAACACATATTTAATTCGGTTTACAATATGGTAAGACATCAGGTGATTTACAAATAATAAATATAAACATAATTCCTCCTATTTGAAAGTTGTAAAAAATATTTTATTAAAGTGTTGAGATTTATATAGAAGCTCACTAAAGTAATGTAAAAATTACGACAGAACTGCGTGTGTAATGTATTAAAAAAATATGCACCACTTGTTGTCAAAAAAGTTTACAGTCAATATTAATTCTTAATGTATTTTTAAACCACTAAAAGCATTAACCAAAAAGTAACCAAACCAAATGAAAAATGCGAATAACTATATAAATAACAGATTATAATTCCAGCACAATGAAAGTGGGCGAGTCGTGGAGCTGCGGCGGCGGCGAGGACGCGGGCGTCACGCGCCACTCGTCGCTGGGCTCGCTGCACCACAAGCCCGCGAGGCACGCCAAGCCGTTCAGTGTTTTCAGGTTATTATCTTTACATAGTATACTAGCATTGCCCGCGGCTCCGCCCGCGTTCAGATGACCAAAAACCAAATTCTTAGGTTTTACATATTAATATACTCTTACATTGCAGTTTTTGTATTTTTTCTCAGAAATGAGACAATTTCTCAAGGTAAAAAGTATCCTATATGTTGACCCGGATAACCAGCTATCACCATACCAAATTTCATCAAAATCCCTCCTGTGGTTTTTCTGTGATGCGGTAACAGAAAGACAGACAAAAATTCTAAAAACTATAGATTCGGCCTCTGTATCGATAATAATGTCTATTTCAATAAGATTTTCCAAAAAATATTTAATGTACAGATTCGGCTTAGTTACAATTTTATTATATGTATGGAAAATGAAGTCGCTTCCCCTATCTGTTCGCTTAGATCTTTTAAATTACTCTACGGATTGTCATGTTTTCAGCAATAGATAGAGTGATTCAAGACGAAGATTTATATGTATAATACATGCGTATTTAGTACAGAAAAGTCGAGAAAATCAAAGATTTGTATTTCATACTAACTGTTAAAACGTAGCTAGGGAAGAACCCGAGCGAAGCGAAGAGTTTATTGTAGATTGAACGCGCGCCAAGCCGCGAGTTCTGCTAGTAATAGAATAAAGCTGTATTTGTGACACACACACACACACACCATTACAGACAATAATTATTTAATAATAATAATAAAACATTACAATATAAGCAAAAGAATATATATATATATATATATATATATATATATATATATATATATAAATAATTGCGTTTTATCGAAATATAGCATTTTGTTGTTTTTTCCCTTGTTAGTTTCCAGATGGACCTGGTTATAAATAGTGGAATTTTCTGTTCAGAAATTCTCATTGCCAGTCCCAACTGAGATTAAAATGAATAGACAGTGCACTTTTGTATTACTTTTAATTTTATTGTCTGCACAAGAAAACCCCTCCTTAAATCGTTTTAAATATGCTTATGCTATTTTTGAACGTAATTTTCTCACAAATTGTTTAAAAAAATTTGTAATTGTGTTTTTTGTTGATATCCATAGAAAAAGACTCAAAAGCGACTCACGCATCGCAACATCACCAAAATCAGAAACGACAAAAGAGAAAGACGTTGAAACTAAAAAGAAAAAGTTCGACTTCACACCAACGCGCGATATATTCAAAAGCTTTAAAGTAAGTCGAAAAATGAAAAATCTAAAAATAACATCAGGACTATCCAAAGGCGAGACTAAGAGCTGTGAATTCTTAGACGAAACCCAGCACGTGACGACGAACCGCTGTTCTAAATCCGTCGAATGTTTAGAAGACGAATTCGACGAATATGGAACTATTAGCGACGAAACAGTGGAATCTTTGGCGTTGCCTCAAGAGATAGTGCAATTGATACTAGGTCAAGAAGTGAAAGTGCGTTTAAAAGAGTCTCAGTGTGAAAGTGATTACATGCCCATGTCACCCATAGTGCCCATAGTGCCCATAGTGCCAGGAGTGTCCCAGATAGAACATCACTACATGGTCATGTCCCCGAGAACGAATCTCGCTTGATCTAGTCTCTAGGGTAAGATATTTCACGTTCCTTAAATTTACATATATGCAGGGTTTGGGTTACGGTATGGCATAATGGTGACTGCTTCTCTGGAGCATATGATATGATTATCATTTATTTATGATTTGAACTTAGGTTCTGAAGATTTTTGTATCAATATTATATAAAATGTAGAATATTAAATAATATATTTGCACAGCAATTTAAATATAATTGTGATAAATATTCGATTTATCACTGATTTATAACAAAAAAAATAATAAAAAAACAGACAGATAAATCAAGCATTTTATATACATAAGTACAATGTCATCACTATGTCACTTAAACGATTGGAATCTCAAATTAGTATAATCACATTCAACAAGGATTCATTAAGGGACGTAGTTACCGCTAGGAACTGCTAGTATGTGATAAATAGAGTTAGATCAGAGCCCCGATGCACTGCATATTATGAAGTTTTTTTTATGATGTATGGAGATATGTGATTAGGTCTATTAGTAAAAAAAGAGAATGTGTGCGTCAATGTGTATAGTGTACACGCGCAAGAAGTGAAACTTCTGTAGGTTATCGGTACTAAATAATTTTTAATAACGGTTTTAAATAATTAGGATAAAACGGTTTTAAATAATTAGGATATGAGAAATACTAAAAAAAAAATTGTTTTTGTATTTTAAAATGAAAACAATATTTTATTATTCACATAGTACATATAGGTGGTGTTAAAATAACATTTAATTTTCAATCAAAATGTTGTAATGATACATTTTTTTTTGTGAAAAAAAAATATACAGTGTTAAAATTATTTCAAGTATATAATTTTTAACAATATTCATTTGATATAATTCCATCGCTCATTTAAAAATAAATGAAAGCAGTATTTTTTTTCATAAATATCGATTTTTATAGTATGGTATAGTTAATTATTACTATATATATAGTATGGCGTGTATGTGCTTATGCGACAAATATTATGTACTAGCCCGTACATTTTGAAATATTAATAAAATAGTTTTTTTTACTATTTATTCACAAAATCGTAACGCCAATGCATTAGTTTTTTCCCTCATGGCGCGCCTAAAGAAGTTTCACTTCAATAACATTAAAATTAATATGTATCAACAAGGTATCTATCAAATACTGCATTATTCTTAAGATTTTAAATGGATCTCAGGTTGATTAAAGGAGACCCGTGGGGCTAATTTTGATATTTTTATAAAATAGAGGTTGATGTTTGTGTAAGGTAAAATGAGATGTTATAATAGCTTTTCTTAATAATACTAATAATAAAGTTAATACTTAATTTGCAAATATTAAATTTAATAACAATAGCGCTACTTAAAATTATATCTATTATTATGTTTGTTTTCTTTTTTATCCACATCAATATTAACTAAACATTGCTTAGCTCAATCTCTTGATGGTTATTAGATGCAATTTTACATGATATATAATTATAATTTATTTGAAAGCTTTGTACGATTGAAAATATATGCAGTGCATTGAAACAGGCTCGGGGGAAATTGCAGTGACTTGGCTGTCGTCAGAAACATTATGTATTAATATCCGTCCAAACTGGACTTTTTTGGTGATTAGGGTTGTAATATATATATTACCAAATATAATTAAAACGAATTTTAGTTAAGGCTAAGGAAATATTCACAGTTATGTAATCAAGCTCACTTTCATACATTATATGGATCATATTGTGGGAATATGTTGACTGGTTTCATATTTATTCAGTTGTAATAAAGTAATGGCCTCCACCACTGCCTTAACAATGTTGTGAGTAAATTAATTAAATAATACTATCTTAGATTTACGCGAATATTTGACATTTTAAAATTGAACATAGAAATATTATTTTCATGTTCAATTATTATTATAAATTTAATTCCGCGGAAAATCCGAAAAGATAGTTTTAATTAATTATAATTGAAAATAAGAAAATAAATTAAAAAATAGAATTAATATAGATTATTATAATAAAATGGCCGCCTTTGAAGTAACTTCAACATATTCACATATTGTATCCATCTATACACTCTACATAAAAAAACACCACTTTTTTTTTATTTATCATTACATTTAAATACAATTTTAAATATATATTTTTTCGTTTTGAAGTTGCAATTGTGACAGTGTTTAGAGGATTTTTTTTGTTAAACTTTATTTGAATATTATTTACGTCCATTTTCAGTAAAAACTACCATGTAATTTAATTTATTACTAAGTAAAAATAATTTGACATATTTGATATTGCAACACCTGCTTTAAACGAAAGCACTAACGTTTTGAGTAATTAGTACTTATAATTGCATTAAACATTATTTTTTTTGATTCATATAAAAATATAAATAAGTATTTAATGTACACTATAATTTGAGGAAAACATTAGCTAAATTACTCACAAAAACTGCTTTTACATTCTCATACTGTATGCAGGCGTGAACACTGAAATATTTTTTTTAGTTCAAATTGTTAATTAGTAAAAAAGACATGTCAAATTATTAAATTTGATTAAAATCAATAAATCTAGCCTGATTGTTGACACTCATCGGTCTTTATGTTAGTTCTTTTTAAAACTCGGAAAGAATGTTATCATTTCTAATATTTCAAATGAGATTACTTTGATTGGATAATTAATTAACAAACAGACTGTATATTAACATTTTGTCCGACGATACTTTGAAGTCCCAAAAAAAAACTATTTACTCTTCTAAATACGTAATATATAAAATGAATATTTTTCTCTTTTGGCTGCTTTAAAAAATTACTTTTAAATTATAATATATAAATTCGCATTTTTGCATCATTCACCTTAATGGGATAAATTAGGTTCTAAATTCTTGCTTTTAATATTAAAAATTGGAGTCGAATTAATATCTAATTATGAAGACTGATCAAGACTTAATGTAGTTTTTACACGTGAGCCAGTATTAGGATCAGTATCTAACAGATGTGTTATAAATACGTAACCTAAAATAAAGTTTCCTGGCACCAGTAGTTTGGTTGATTGTGCTTATATGAGTTTTTAGTGTGTTTTTTTTTAATTTGTTCATTGGGAATTTAAATTAAGAATCCCAAAAAAACAGCATAAAAAGATATTAACTATCTTAAACTCAAAAAAAAATTTTGTTGTTCGTATTAATGTTGAAAGTAAAAATAAAAAATAAAATATATATATAAAAAGTACGTTTGTATCCTGTGATTCAGAAGAAAAAATTAATACCAATATAAATTTATTGATCCTACATCGTTTATCTGATTTCAATAAAGCTCGGCTAATTTTATTCTACTGGTGGTACCATATTAGAAATTATGATATGCGTGATGTAGGACTTGTTTAGAAAAATATGCTTTATCTTCAGAAAAAATGAATTGTATAGACAGAGTTTATGTAACATTGATTAAAACAGTACTAGATACACAGTCCCATGCCAAAGTTATCTTAAAACTGTCACCAATTGCGTTAAGGTAATTATTGTAGTTGAAATAAATATGCAACAATGTAAATTGCACTTTAAATGCAATGCTTAAAGTTAATTCCACAAACAAAATTTAAAGCGCGCTCAAATGTTCAAATAAGCGCTCATTCGGTAAGGACATTTTTTTTGTCGCTGATTGTGTATCTAGTACATTTTTGATCGATGGTATGTAACAGAAAAGTGAAGCAAAGCTGAAAATGTTGACGCGTTATTATTAGCATGCTAATATAAAAGAAATCCAACCACACTTTCACAAGCGCTATTGAATTGTCAACTTTATTTAAGTAATATCTCAAATAGGCTTAAACTTTATTTAAATAATATCTCAAATAGGCTTCCATATAGAATACTATTTTAGGCGTCAATCACTGTTCTTAGCGCTCTGTCTATCTCATTTTGATCTGAGGCGTTACATTTCTATGTGTGTATACAGCTTGTGTGCGCGGCGGTGTTGTGATACTTATTGTTAGTGTAATTGTTATCGGGCTTTATAGCTTTTGTTGATTTTGGTGTGTTAAAATCGAATGTTGGACATTTTGGAAAAATTTTGAACATTTTATGTTTGTGTTGGCGGAGGAATAGGGCTGTGGGTGGGTGGTCGTGAATGATTATTGTTATCGATTTTTTTGAATAATCGATTAGTGCAGATCGATTATTTAACGAATTAGAGTAATTTTTGATAAGTGTTACTTATCATGTTTCATTAATTAATAGGTAATTTAATCGAATTTTAATTAGATATACAGAGGTTTGGCAAATCATTCGTTATCATCCACGTCATGTGATGCCCTGATGCAGGGAGTAGCTTAATTCGTATAGCCATTTTCTATATTTTAAGGACATTTAGGTCGCTTTCGCATTCTAAATCTGACCAACGTACTCTAAGGTAGTTGTAAGTACTTAATGATCTATAAACTATTAAATGAAAAGATCTCTTAACTTCCTCAAAAGTATTTATTTGCTTTAAAATAGACATTTTATCTTAATTTTATTAAGAAATTGTAACGGAAATTTCGCATTATTCAATATTCAATGATAAAGCAGCATTTTTCATATTATATGCAAATGTGCGTGTGCGGTGACACAATAATTAAAAGGTTGAATTATAACATGCCATTATAAAATACACGCTTAAAACTAAAAATAATTTTGTTATAAAGATGGATACATATTGGAGATAGATAATTTTATTTGTTTAATTTAATTTGGGATAAAAAATGGTCATGAGTAAATGGGGTGTGTTTTCATTTATTGGTTCAATTTTGTATTATTATTCGATCATTGCCATGTTCTATTTTGTATTATTTGCAGCTTTACTTTAGTTAGAGTTGCCGTACATTACAGGTTTTTCTCAGTAAAAAAAGAATATTTATATAGCGTTATGCGTCACATATTTGCTTGTGAAAGAAAAATATATTGCCTGACAAAAATCTACAATATGCGGTACCTTAGCATTACTTATACGTATCTGACTGTGTGATATATTAAAATATATTTTGCTGTCTTAC